TGGGTGAAACCACATCTGAGGGGCTATGTTCTGCAGACATAGAGCACACCTTCTCCAAATGCCATACAACAAATTGGATAAGGGTGTAGCTTCTGCCTTTGCAGGTTCGGAAGTGAGTTAAGGATGGTTCGTAAAACAAACGGACTCGAGTCACATCCATCACGCTTAACCGGCACTTTGTGATATGAGGAAACTAGTAGAGAGCACCATGGATAGGGTCCCACCAATGGGCTGGCCACACGTCTATCTCACGTACTTCACGAGCTTCTACAAGCACTAACGAACCATTACAACTGCCCACACTGGGAAATGCAGGCGATGTTAAACATGGCACAAAGTGATTCTTCTTACACGTTCCACAACAATTGTGTCACTGGCGGCATGTAAACCTTCACTGCTATCGGAATGCACCATCATTGGGTGATTCATCCTCCGGGTCAAGCCAGTTGTGGCCAATGGCTTCCCCTATCACAGTCCGCACATTCTCCAAATGCCATACATCCAAGTGTCCAGGAGTCCAACTTCCATTGCCGTGGAATGCGGTTAGGGTCGTGTTGTAGGGTGGAGAGGAGCAAATCCCGTCCACCCGATTATCACTTCAAGGTGGGTTCGACGTAGAAGGAAAGTGGTAGGGAAGAGAATAGACAGCTTATTTATTTGTTCAGCTCACTCGCTGCCATCACACAGCCCAGTCGTCTATCTGCATTAACTTATCTACTTCTCCAATAAATTTGGGGGAGCCTACATTAAAATTGTACCTGAGAGCAGTGTTGGCTAAAATGCGCCTGTGCTTGAGGATGCTTTCGGTCTACTCAACTCCGTGATTTCAGTCGCATTGTCAAACAGGATTTGTTGCGTTTCACTGTACCGGTAACAATGGAACGTGGAGCATGCCTTGAAGCAAAGGCATATCGAAAGAAGATCATTCCTAGGGGTTTGTCATCTTGATGCGACTGTTAGTTGCCAAGACGGAAGGGATCTGTTTCGCCTTCCACGCTATCGGTCACCTCATTTGGCACAGTGAAGAGCCCTCAATTCTGTGCGATTTGTGCCCCATCTCACAGCAAATCTACCCAGGTGTTCTTCTTCACCGCAGTTTCAGTTGCCCCGATGTCCGTTTCCTACACTGCTGTTGTTTGTTCACTGGTGAGATTGTAGAGATGTGGGAAGTTAATTTGCCAACTACACATTAACCGATTGTGGAAAGCAATATCTCCACCACTTTCCCAGAGGTCACCACTGTTTTAAAGACATCCTTAACAATAGGGTGACCCCATGGATTCGCTGCGATCCACGTGATAGTTTGCATGGCGATTCATCGCCAGAAGATGAGGCTTCGCCCTCATCACGTCCCACTAGTCTTAATAATGATGAAGGTACTGTCCCACAATCACCGACTGACTCCCAAATCCCCCCATATTTCTTCAGGTAGTGATCATTCACATTTCTTGGCATTGAACGACCAATTGAGAAATAAAACCCCCAACAGGGAAATGATGAGAGTCACAGCTTAGGTTTCGCTCCTAGGATCAAATTAGATTATGGCAGTGGATTATCTTGCAGAACTGTACATTTGAAAGTGCTTTCTGTGGTTATTTAAACGCTTTACCAACGCCAGGCGGTTTTACTTGATCACTGTGTGGAAAAGAGATGAGGGGACTTGAGAACTGCGAATGCCGGTGATAGCACTTAAGACATAAAGAATGTGGAGCCACTGCAATGCAGTCAGCTATGGACTCCTGCCCTATCTTCTCGGGCGATGAAGAGGAATAAAACACCTACTCTATGCAGTTCAGATGAGACCTTCTCCTCCCACCTTCTATTGTCAACACACACACACACACCAGACGTCAGTTTCACGTTTTGACCGCCAGACTTGGTTGTATTAAAAATTCCTGACGCTGTTTATTTACATGAATACCACATTCCCATCACTGTTATCCCCGATTCACCTCTGAAGGTGTACAAGCAACATGAGTGTCCATAACCAGTTGGAAGTTGGTCTAAGACAGATGACGCAGTGGTTGTAAGGCATGGGAGTCTACAACACTTGACAAATCACACAGCAGTAAGAGGTAAAGGAGGCCTTCATGGTCCCAAGCCTCATTAAACAATATTCAGATATCCACATCGGCAATGACAAGGCCATGAAATAAAAGCAGTTCATCAACTTACGCCATAGAGTTCGGAGAGTTCCTCCCACTGCTTTACGTTCTCAACAGGATCCTCCTCCTCCACCTCCTGCTCCTGCTCCTCTTCATCATAACCACCAGTGTCTCCATTCACAGCAGCTGCCGAGAAAGCGGCAATGAAGATTGAGGCGCGACAAGGAAAGAGGCGTTCCCGACGCCAACTAGCCAAATCAACAGTGGAGGTGTGAGGTGGAAGGAGGTACCGATCTCGAGCGCTGAGCAACGAAGGCAGCATATTCTCGTAGAGGAGCGCGTGACCCATCCACTCACTCACTATGGCGTCCACACGATCAACGCCAAGTTGTGCGTCCTCCACTTTGCTGTTTATTACTGTATGGTGAAATAGAAATGGAGGCAGGAATTGTTTATTTCGGACTCAATAGGTGGCACGACAAGTGCACTAGCCTGATTGAGATAGAAGCTTCAACAGAAGGAAATCACATTTACCAATACGTAGCCTCATTTCACATCAGGGCTTTTGGCGTCAAAAAAAGGACAACTCTCAAGAAGTGAAACAGTGCTTCTCTCCTGACATTTACACTTTCAACATTTAAATGCTAATCTCAGCGTTCAATGAATGCAGAGACTGCTTCGGTGCAGAAGAATTTGTCAGTAGGCATGACCGATCCAAAGGCGCCGTACTTCGCTTCGTCAACGCTGATGGTCAATCCACAAGCTTGTGCAGTTTTGTTGCTCACTTTGACACCACAGTGAGATTAGGCATCGGGTTTTCTGCGCATGAAATGATGAGATCCAGAAAACTGTGCTCTTTCCTGTCGAGGCGCTCCTTCGAATCAGGCCAGACCAACAAAATCCTTTCAGCTGATCAAAATCAGAATGCTGTCCTGGTGCCCAATGTGCACCAACTTTTCTAAATCACAACTGTTCTGGAATGATTGTGTTGTGATGTGCCCATCATTTCCACAGATATGTTCATCACTTGTGCAATATCTACCCACGATGGGTTGCGAGTCAAACTTGCATGCAGGATGAGGCATTCCACGTGACAGTTGAATGTTCACGGGATTGACTATTGCGACACCACGGTAGAGCTCGACACCGACGTACAGACGTATGGTCGTCTTCGAGGTGTGTTCACCATGCGATTAGGCGCATATATCCGTGGGTTCATGTATTGACGCCTTTATTTGGAGGAAACTTAGTTCATCACCATTCACGTGCCTGATAAGGCGTGTCCGGCCCGGCAGATGACACGTGCGCAGGTGGTTAGTGTACAACAGGACGTCATGACCACACACTATTGCATGTAGTGTGGTATCATTGGAGTGCTCGTCAGTGGCTCCACTTTCGAGTCAAATGTACTATTTTGACTTGAATGCCACTGTCTCTACCACCACTGTCTACGACACGGGCATAGGACGAGAATCAGCCCTTGCTCATTCGGTGAGAGTGTCGTAAGAATTACCAAGTGGACTTGTAGGATTCAGCAGAACTTCGTTCACCGACTATTGTCATTTACGTTACCAGTCCTCCACCTTTTCTGCATGCGTATAATTAGGCTGCCTTCACTCTTGCATGCACTATAACTTCATCGAGGGTGATTCAAGCCATGAAACGGCTGGCACAAGAGACCGTTCATTTGTGTAGTAGGCATTTTAATCGGTTTGCTTTACCGACTTGGATTAACGCGTCTTGAGTGGCTCCACTTTCAACAATGCACAGGAGAACTTTCTGCTAAATGTTATCGTCAATAATTTCCAAGGATCTTTCACAAAAGTACAATAAGCGGACCAAATTAGCAAAGTCGATCTGTTCCCCACCAAATCAGGGCACATTAGGAGACTCTTTACGAAATCCCAGACATTTGCCTATTAACAGGTCGTAAAACGGAGATTTTCCAGCAGACAACTCGAGACCGTTTGCGTCATTAAAATCGTACTTGACACAATCTCATAGGCTGTGTACTTAAACTGCATCCATGCCAGATGATGCTGGCGTTGAATTCCCCCCAATGGGACTACCCTCCAGATGACTTCATGTTACGTTGATACTTGGTCTGATGTGGACTGCTTTTAGCTGTTTAAAGATGGTTTAAAACAAGTGCAAAAAACAGTTGCAATTTGTAAGCGAACCATAAAAGGCGGCTCCAGTGATAAGCGAGGTGTTATGTGACAGGCTCCAAACACTTCCCATTACCTAATCATATTTTCAAAGGTATGCAACAGCACAGTGATCGTAAATTATGTGCAAGATCCCATGCTCGTCGTCTAGCTTGCAGTATAGCCTGACGATCTATAAACGTTCGCTCACCCAATGTTCCAAAGAACCACGCATCAAGCGTGCTAACTGAAACCCCCCCCCCACTTCGGGCTTCAAGGTAGCTTGCAAAAGTGCCCAACTAGTCCCAAATCTGGTGGGCTGTACTCAACACATCATCTCCATTAAGTGTGAGCGTTAGAAAGCGACGCCTACTCACTCACAACTTCTGGCCTCTCAACTACCCTTGTTGAGTATCAAATGACCAAACGAATTCCCACCACTTTCGGTACACCACGTTGCAATAACTTGTTTTGCAATTTGTGGCCCGGTTGCTGCTAGATTGACTTGTGATGAGGAATGGCCTTCGCATTCCAACGTTCGTGAAGCGAGTGGGCTTATCACTGGCCATGCCCAAGCGACCCACTGCCCACTGTGCGTAGCACACACCTACGAAGTAGGAGGTAGCTACTGTTTTACCGCATTCTCCTAACTGCCCCCGCTATTTCTTCGAGTGATGGTTAGCATCTTTGTGGGAAATAAGAAACAATGGAGAAGAAGAAGTACCAAGATGAATCGCAACGGAGAAGTCCTTTAGTTAGCCAGCTTGAATTTTATTAAATATTTCCAAGTTTACCTAATTACTGTTACTAGACCCCTTATTTTGAGAAGCGAAACATAGCCCTAGCCACGTTAGCTTCGAATTCTGATTGTTAAAAACCCCACGAGATTATTACTACTACTTTATCGCTTTGATACATGGGATTGTGGTAATCACGCAATCGGCAACCATTCACTAATCCAAATTACCGTGCAGATTTGGCAAGTCGTTTGGACTGCCTACACTGTTTAGAAACTGGCATTTAAACAATGGCCTATTCTGCTCAAAGCTTCAAATAACGGCAGGCCAAATTCGTTCACTTAGGAATGAACGGGCTACGCAAACATCGCTGCAGTAACTGTAAAACCAACTGGTATTAAACGAACAATCTACGGGTCATGGTGGTCAGCTTCATGCCTTGGAAACCGATACTCGATCACACTTATGTGACGCCACGAGTGCGTCACACATATGTGACGAACCCATTTGAAAAGAAAATCAGTTGATTTATGAAAAAAAGATAAAAGGTAATTATTGTCATAAGAGAACAATAAAACGGATGGACTGTGGTAACCAACATTCCCCCAACATCTCTGGTTGCGAATACACTAGTTGTTTTGTTTATGCGGCAATCAAAATAAAAACATTCTAGGCCTAAGTCCTCTGTGTGAACATGTAACCTCCTTAGACTGTCCATGCAAACCAAAAAAGAGGCAAAATTCACCTGTGATGCGGGAGGAGAAATTGTTCTCAGCAATAATTTGTCGAGCAAGGTGGCAGAGTTTGGCAACACCATCGAGAGCATAGACATGAGCGGCGCCAGCCTTGGCGCCGAACATTGAGAGGATGCCCGTGCCGCAGCCGACGTCCAACAGCACCCCACCCTCCAGACGTCGTCGGGCTCGTGTCAGTGCGAGTCTGAAAGCAGTAGAGTGGTCCGGTTACGAAAAGATACAAAAGCAACCATTGCAGGAGTCCATAACACAGCCTTTTCAGGTTCTATATTGTCATGCCAAGAAGACAGAATTAAAGGTTAACTTTACCTCGGAATAAAATCCTCCGTTAAGTGTCCAATTCTTCTCGGTAAACAGTGTTAAAGCCCATCATCACTAATACTTCAATTAAACTACATTTCTCTTCAAGTGGATGTTTCGGAGAGTCATTATGAATGGAAAAAAGTTGTTCAAGCATTATTCATACAATTACCGGTTACAAAATGGTGCCCAACCGTTGAGGACGCAATTGGGGAACACAAATTACATCAACAATTCGTGGATATCGCGAATAAATGCAACGTGAAAGCGGCTATGGTGGAAGAGGATATATTCACTGAAAAATTGACGAGAAAATCACCACTACCGTTATTTGACTCCTTAAACGAATCGAATAGGTAAGGAAAATGTGTAGTGGGAAGGGCTTTGGCGGACAAATTAATCGAACAAGGGAGGAAGATGCGAATTCCACCTCAGCTTGCTTGCGGCAGTATGGTTAATCACCTTTTCACGATAAGGAGGGATTAATTGCGACGACTTCTTCGTGGTAAAAGCGCACGAGCATCGAATATGCTGGATGAAGTACCGTATCCAAAAAGCCAACAGTATATATTTGCAACCTCAGCGGTAAATTGACTTCATCCGGTACCATTCCATAACCTCTGTAAACTTAATTGGTCAAGTATATAGAGCAGAAAGGCCAAAAGGGTTAATCGCACGGAAAGATAATCGAGTCTTCTTAGGGAAAACGCCCAAGTGTGCGCGGTTTTCCCAACCATCGCTGCTGCTAAAGCTGTGAACAGTAGGTGGACCAAAAGGCCTTCCATTATCCACTCACACCCACCGCATTCACTAAGCTTTCTTTCATCAATCGACCGCGAAATTTATTCACCATGTCAAACACCCTTCGCCACAAGTTCATGGCTCCTCTGGATTATTCACAGCCTGCTGACACAAAGAATTTGCTATCACAGGGCTAGTAAAACTGCCTTCGATGGTTTGGGTGAACAGCTTATTGCCTAAATGATGTATCATACGGCAATATCGTAGTAAGTGCGCAGGCTCCTCACTCCGTACAGTTAGTACTTGTGTCTCACCAGGATGGCCTTTCAGTCGTGCCTATAGCCCTTCAGCCTTGCTGCACGTAAATGATAGCTTGTGTACACAGAGGGAAGATTTGGAGCCAACATTTCCATTCAAAAGTAAACGTTACACTTCTGAAGCATCTTATTTACAGAAAATGGAGCACCCACAAGTTACTAGCTGGATAGAACCCAGGCAGATGTGACTGGGTGGCAGTGAAGTGAGAATAATGTATCAGGGAAGAATAAATGCGAAACCACTTTAAACCTTGTTTTTACAACTAGTGGCCGACACACGTAATAGCCTGCACATTCCCCCCTTCTCCAATACAGTTCCCAAGCAGGAGAGAACTCCAGATCCAGTGGAACTGCCAAGAGGGATCAGTGACGATGCGGTCAAATATCTTCTCATTTACAGGCAAATTTCGACTACTGATGTGGATGGTTCGTGGGTATTTTTGTCTGTAAAGCACCGACCACGGTGTGGTGGCCGACGCGGGAGATTGGCAAAGAGGAGCGCCGAGGAAGACACTCAAAAGGAGAGGGGGCTGCGTAATCCTTTAATTGTTAGTTTTACGCCCCGTCTCGGTTTCGCAGGCACTTAAGACTCTGCGATTGCACTTCCAATGGCCCGAATAGCCTCCAGGCCATGCCGTTTGCCTCACGGCCCTTCTGTACGTCGACAATATACATTCAATCCTAGTATTATGACTTCCTTCGCCTTCAAGGAAGTCGAGGGGTGCTGCATGAGTTTAAAGGCTCAGCGACAACACGTAGGTTAGACGTGAGATTTTGTACACGAAAACATGGTAATTATCGTTCCCTGGGGAGGTAGAATTCACCTGCCGCGGGAAAATTGTGGGCACAAAGCCCATTAAACGAGGCACATTATTGGTGCCCTTTTAAACAGCAAATTCCGACCATAGAAAAGGCATTCGTGGCCTCGCGTCCTAATCCTTACAGCAGAATGGGAAGCGAAAAAAGTTGTTTTTTGAGTGAGGAGCAAAAACTTTACATTCCACGTTTGGGGGAGACGATTTTGTGAAGAAAGGAATATAGCCGAATCGTTCAAGTAAGTGATGAGAGCTTTTGGCAAAACATGAAGGACTGTTCATTTACATTCCTAGGGGGAGCATTGAAGGTATGAAAGAGAAGTGACATGACAGAATTGCGCCAGCCATCACTGGATAAACTTCGATTTCTGGGAATTTGATGCCTTAAATTGTGCGTATTTTAGAAAACCCACCCCAAGTGGGTCTATACATGTCAAAAAGTTGTGGCTTCCATCTTAAACGGAGGAAAGATCCTCTCGAAGATAGCAGAAGCAATGTTGCCATGATGAAAAGCGGGGATTAATGACCAACTTCAAAGAGAAATTCCCATTCCTCCCGAATAACATGTCTAAAAGTAGGGGAAGGAAGGTATGTTATGAATGTTCGGATTTCCGTAGGCACATACCAGAAAAGCTATTGGAGCAACTATTTCAATCTTCTATTCTCTCTCGTGGCTGATGTTTAGTACGACAAGATCAGATTATAACAATTCAAAAAAATTCTATTACAATGAAAACAGCTAAAAATGTGAAATATACCTCCTCTGCGATCCAAGGGACTGAAGCTAACCTGGACAGAAGGCTGAACGGCACCGAAGTGAGAGCAGAGCGGTAGGAAGAGAAGCTAACCTAGGTGATTCATCAAATAGTTTTGTTTTTAGACAAACCTTCCGCTTGTTCTAGAACGCTGGCCGGACTTGGGTAGTAAAAAGGCAGTTAATGGTGAAAATACAGCCTGTAAGGGATGACGAGATACACTGCTGTAGTTGTTAGTGGATATGTCCTAACAGCCCCTCTACTGAGGCAAAACCGAGACACATAATACATCTTTTTGCTGCAAGACTAACAGTTCCTTGTAAATGAAATTCGACACTGCGCACAGGAATTAGCATACAAACACACGCGGGAGAGACCTGGTAATGCGGTAAGTGTGTGCTTTTCGGGTAACAATCCGCGGCATAAAAGAATGGTACACCACCGATTCTATTTTGGACAGTGATCATGACGACATTTCTGCACCTAGGTCATCTTCCCGAGTGAAATAGAGTGCCAGTATATCAGTCAAACCGTGTACCTCTCTAGTTTTATGGGGCTTTGAATGGATTTGGAGTTTTATGACACCAAATCAAGTTATCTAGGGGCTCTTGCGAACTAGCAAACTATTCCAAATACAAAAATATACCACGTACAATGTGAACAAAACCTTGAGATAAACGTGTGATGCATACAGGACAAAACTACTTCACAGTTGTTCCAAAACCTTCACAGAGCTGGAGGCCATCTATTGAAACCGGGGATGACCAATCCGTAAGTGGCTGACAAACTTTCCCCCTCCTACATGCCGCTTTTACAACGGTAAATGAAGTCGCAGGCATCCACGGAAGAACCAATGCTTAAAAACAGAATGACACGTAAATTATTACAGTTTACGATAAAAATGGTTGCATAGGGGCAATTCGAAAATTAAACACAAATGAAGGCATAAGTTCAAAGGGGAGACGAGTTACTTCTCCGACGCAAAGACCTGAGAAAGACTACAGTGAAACGTCATAACTATTTACCCTTGATGATTTCACTAGGGGCGCCACATGTGTACCGCGTAGTCTTTTTCAGTTTATAATGTCAACCGTTGAAATAAATCGTGTTGCAAGTGGATTGATTGAGTTGGAAACGATCGAATGAAGCAGGGTGTTCTTGACTTGAGAATAACCACACTTTTTAGCAGCAGCTGAATGGGTCAGTCTCGTAGTGAAAGTGTTGATGTCACTTGATCTCTGGTGGCCGATTTTCCTCCTAAACTCTTGTAGCGAACATGTGACTTATTTCTGAATGGGGCAACCGGCCCCTTTATATTTCAATCCCCTAATGACCATAGACAGGGGTAAATCTCCCATTTGCAAGTCATTGTCGAATGCACAGAAACGTCTCAAGAATTAACATTACTACGATCAAAAGACCTTCGTAGAAGTCTCCGAAAAGTGTTACGACGTCCTCGAAAGTGGGGAAGCACTTCGAATGAAGACTAGGACCTACCAATGAGTGGGATTCCATAATATGGACGCAACTACTAATATATGTATATGCCCATCCCTTCTTACGGATGTTGCGATACTCCGATTGTTTGCTTAACTCGTCGTTTTGGCACTTAAGGCTCCGTGATTGTACTTTGGCTGAGTGGAATGGCCTCCAGGCCATGCCAGTAGCCCCCATCCTAACCCTTCTGTACGTCAACAATATATGTTCTACCCTAGTGTTATGTCCCCTTTCATCTTCAGGGAAGTCGCGGGGCGCTACAATGTATATTCTGAGAGAAACTGACCTTCTTATACTTAAAGTAACTGTCCGTCTTACATGTATCGACTGTAAGAGAAGTGGTGATTGAATTAAACAGACAGACGAGTATTTCTTTCAACTACAAGGCTCAAACATTTTGGACTACAAATGCCTAATAAACCATAGGAAAGTTGAAAATGGGGGCTATTTTATAACAAAACCATCACCTACTGGTACGTCAATGTGCGAACTTTGTCCGACAGCATGAGAGCATGAACATCAGTGAAGGAATATGACCTAAAATGAAAAAAGGTACTCTTTACCTCAGGAGACACGAATACGTTGAGAAAATTTGAAAGGATAATGTTAGGCTGTCCGTAAGCTTGGCACTGCACGTATGCGAACCCCCAGTTAGCTATTAAACGCTGAGAGTCGTCCCAAAAAGCTTCCAACCAAAATTAAAGGTAGACTTTGTGCAGCATTAACAACTGTTGAGTAAACAAAGCAAATGCGACACTCACGAAATGCTGTCGCTTGGAATTATGAAATAACAGGACACCTAGTTCAGATGCTCTCAAACATCAACCGGTTAAATATCTACTTCGCTGGATTTACCTGGTTCACCTATTTCTCACTAAAGCTCTAAGACGATGTACTTGTGAAACTTGACATTCGCACTTTGGAGGGATAAGAGTTCTCTCAGTAACTGCTTGAGATGAAACACCGTGATACAGCGCCATACTTGATCTAACCCGTCAAAGTTCACTTCAACTCCTCGCAACACCATGAAGAAGCTAAACTCTATCACTTACCTTGAATTTCCATGAAAGATGCGAGTAACAACTAACATTTTCGAACAAAAAACGCCAAAAATAGTTTTACGAGACTTAAACTACCACTCCCTAAGCTGTTGACAATGAATTTTATTTGTCGTAACATATGGGACTTTGCCAGCAATGGGGACAATGAAAAATGTCCGCTGCCTTTACACCAAATTTTTTGGAGAACGTTCACTGCAAACCATAGAGTGGCTGAAAGAACATTGCCCGACAGTATGGAGCGAACATTGAAGTCAACTTCGATAGAATTGCATCACAATGGGAAGAGACCTAGAGAAAGTGGATGCAATTCGCTATCCTTTCTCTTTTCTACTGACAACTTTGTAACGATAGCAGGAGCAATAACAAGGTGTCATGGTCAACTGCTGAACCGTAATGCGCTCTAGATGGTACTTAGATGGCGAGATATCCACACTCGTACGTGTGGTCAGTTGGATCTTGTCTAGGTTGTCAATTAGAGGGAGGAGATTTGCACCAGCGGTACCAATTTCTGACTGTGCAGGAGGGTGGGGGGCAATCAGTGCAGATGTTCTAAAGCGCGACAAGCACCTCATTGCCGCAACAATTTGCAATGGTAAAAAGGCGCAGCACAAGTACCTGAAGTATAATTCATCGTCTGATGTGCTGCTAGCGCCTTTGTTCTACAAGCAAATGAAGAAAGGTACTGAGGGTGGGATCAATATGCGGTTATCAGGTACGCAAGTCAAAATGACATGAGAACCTTGGTGATCATGTGTTCTCTCACAAGATGTCAATTATGAACTTCATGGTTGCACTTTGATAGTAAAAAAACTATCAAATCTGAGAAGCATACCTTTGACAAAGCTTCATGGTCGTCGTCGTCAATCTTTGATCGTTTCCTTGTAAGCGCCTAAGGAAATAGGGTAGGGAAGCAGTAATCCAGTGAACACCCAAAGTTGCTTTTAGGCACATAAAAACGCGCACATAAAAGCTGGAAACTGTGATCCATCCCATCGGAGAATCTCCTTTACTAGGTGGTGGAGCTTGCACATCTTATCTCTTTCAAGCCTGAATTTTTTAACATAAACATTAATGTGTATCACTGGAATAGATTCCCATTCATGCATTTCTAACTCCACTTTTCCATGGTTTTATATCGATAGCAAGTTAATAAAACAAAGTAACCACAAAGACGTCGAACAAAAATCAAGGTATACTATATAATCATATGGTGAATGGGGGCTCAGAAAACATTTCTCATACATTCGTCACAAAAAACACTTCAATGCATTATTTAACCTAATACTTGCTAAACCAATACAAAATACATCACGAGAGAAAGAAATCAAAAAAAAAACGCTACATATCTTTGTGTCTCATCAATGGAGGATGTCAGCGGGGGAGAAGACTATGTGATAGAAGACAAAAATTGTAAATCCAGATTAAGAAGGAGGGGCAAATAAATGCTTGAAAGACTTGTCAAGTCATTTCCTTCTATTGAAAACAGGAGCCGCCTCCTTGGCCTCAAGGAGAGTGACAGGGCGCTCAATAATGGCGGAGATGGCATTCAGCCAATAACCACGTTCCTCCTCCGAGGCAGCGCAGAAGACAAAGGAGCGATCGGGGGTGTTTAACGTGATGGGAAAGTCCGTTGGCACCTTCTTCCAAGATTTAGGCGGCTTGCCCTGCACCGAATAGCCGTCTCCTGATGCTCCGATGAATATCTCGCCCTTGGCAAAGGCCGACTGTGGTGTTGAAGTGTAAAGAAGCCAGCGCTTTGTCAACATTACCCAACGTCGTCGGAAGGCGTAGCTAGCATCGGGACCACTCTTCAACAGCCAGCCGAATTTCCCAAGGTCTGAGGTCAAGTATGAGACAATCTCATCCATCGAAACCTTTTGCCCTGTTCCTGAGAGGTGAAGTCGCAAGCGTTGGTACTTACACAGCCGCAGAGTATTGTACCAATTGAGGATCTCATGACTGTCCTCACTTCGAACGAAGATGTGACGGGTTGAGTGATCCTGTACGAATTGAATAAGAGCTGTGTTGGGAGGCACGCCAAAGGCCTCACAATCCACAAAGGTCATGTTGCACCGCTCCACATCGATACACTCTTTGGGCTCGGTGTCCGTCAACTTTACAAAGTACTTAAAGGTATTCGTAGTAGAATTGATTTCAAAGAGGCGAGGAGCGAATTGGGCTGCATCGCGTAACTTTTTGAGCAACTGGCCACTCTTTGTGCTGTTGGAGAAACCCACTTGAAGACCCTGGGCACCAGCACCCTTGCTGAATGCCCGTACGATGTACTTGCAGTGCACGAAGGCCTCACGAAAGAAGGCTGGGCAGGTAGGACCAGGCCAAGGGCGTCGATAGTAGGTGGGAAGTTCGGCCTCAAGCTCTTCGTTGACCTGGCGATTGCCATTGCCCGGGAGGAGAATTTTCAGTTCCGCTTCAGTTGAGGAGCTTAGGGAGGCCAATGATCGCCATCCGCCGCCCAGTTTTACGTGAGTCTCTAACGAGAACCGGGAGAGTAAGTGTCAGTGAGAACGTACCTGTGCACTCCTTACAGATGAATACGGAATAGTCTGTGGAGAGACCAAGAACACACGTGGACTTGCAGTCTGCACAAACGCTGTTGCCATCCGCATTCAGGATAAGATCAATAGGCATCTCTGAAGCGAAACAATTACACAAGCTAAAGAGTGCGCAAGGATTCGGTGCATTTCCAAGGGTTTAGAGGCTATCAGTAACCTGTGTTGTTGTGAGGCGACAAATAAGCATTATCTTTTGACAAAGTAGATTTTAAAAAAGAACAATTGAATTGAACCCACCAGGCTTTTTTTCTAACTTCAGCATCCTAAAAGTCCCCGAAAAGCAAGGAAAAAAGGGGTAAAAGAACGAATTTCCAGAAATCAAAATAAGGCTTGGAATGACATGAAATAAACCGATCAAATTTGGACAAATTGAACACTGTATAAAGCAAACTAAGACAATGCAATAGACGAGCCATACACTTCATCAAAAATTAGACATTTGGAGCATAGGATCATGGAATACGACTCTTGTAAGTCCAAATATCTAAATTAATATCTGAGAAAAGTTGGTAATGACATATTTACGTGAGAAGCTCTAATCAAAACAATAATATCATCCTTAAGACTCAAAAATTGTAGTTTCAACACTTCGAATGGACTTTTATTGCGATCGTGACACGCTTAAAGAATTAACTACGACTGTCTATAGATCAAGCAGCTTTCAAAATGTCTCAAGCCTGAAGAAACGCAAAGCAAGCTTCGAACTCAGATAAACTTCCACTTCCGCCAATTGGCATAAAGTATCCACCAGGGGTGTTGCAAAAAGGAATGTAAAGTACACTATTTAAAATTGCAAGTTTCAAAATACTCACCTTATGCACAACGCATACAACAGCGAAAGCTATCCCAAATGACCTAGACAAGAAGGACCTTCAGTTGATGCAATAGATAACGGCAATATATTAATATCGCAGTTGTTTGTGCCATTTGTTTGCTTAAAAAATTGTTAATTCTTCAAAAGCAGTTTATAAAACTTACAAAGACCAAAAAATTTCTCCGAAGTTGTCTGACACTTTGACATCTTTCATTTGATTTAATCTTAGCAAACTGCCTCTTCCCTGTAAAAGCAAAACGAGTTAGTTTTGATAGCAATATACCATTGATGTCTGTTAATCTTAAATTTCTGGGGCCTTTGAGGCCCTATCAGTTCCTTGGTGCAAATGTTATGACGCAGTAGTTCGATGCCTTCCCCAAGGGCATACCACGCTATAGGGTCCCGAGACTACCCTGAAAACATTAGAAGACACAACACTCCTACAAAATATGCAAATCTAGCATACAGTAGGGCCCAAGGCTACTGGCTCAACCCAAACGCCAGCCCACATGGCGAATTACAATGTTCAAATCACAAATTGGCCCTTTACCAAAACCGAGAGTTAAACAAACAACTGACGTAATGCGTAGCCCTCTCCTCCTCTGAGCGTCATCATTAACACACCCTTTGGTCAACTTTTTCTGCCAGCTACCAATGCTGAAGGATAACAATTGCACTGGCCTTTGAATTTCTATGGGTCTGAGGGCATACTTGAACGCGATGTCACTGACATCTCTTGGCAATTAAAGCGGACCTAGAGTTTCATCCTGTATGGGAACTAGATTTAAGAAGCTTAGAATTATGCTGACTATCACTCGTGCTCACAGCTATACGTAGGATTAATGGCCCAAACATATATTTATATGAGAAGGACGCAATTTAACTCAGTTTCGTGGAGTGGGATTTCGCGTCTGACTTACCTTGCCACGTTCAACGCAGCTAGCAGAGAAAGGGAGGTATCACAAATTCATATTATCCATATCTTTGTGCAGGTATGGTGAGAAACTCCGCAACAAAACTTTTTAGATGGTTTACGGCTAATGTCTTCTTTTTCGCCAGTAGTTCTCCAGCAGAAAGCAGGACTGCAGTAGTTACCAAAGGTAGAGGTCATTCTCAGCCCTTTCCATTATTGGTTGTCAAGATTCTCTCTTCTTCCTTTTCCGCGCAGCCAAGAACGGTCGCTTAGCAGTAGAAACTAGAAAAGATTCCCTTCAAAGTTGAGTTCGCACTCCACGCCCCGAACTTTTCTCGAGTACGGAAGTAGACTTGATACTTGGGACGAAAATAAATATTTAGCATGCAGAAAGGCCCTGAGCCACTATCATGACTTAGGGGACAGCTTACCCGGCAAAGGTACGACAGATAAAGCACAAAGTGATCCTTTAACAAAACCGCGCGTTGACCAGCCAATGCTTGTGTCCAGCATCAGTTTTCACGCATCGTTTTCCTTTTTGTCTACCAGTTTTAAACCCCACTAGCATGAAGAATTTAAGAGCTAATAAGCTGAATTGTAGTAAACAGAAAGATATGGGGCTCTTGAGCTCCCTGAAGCTTAAGCGGAGTAAAATATTGTAAAAGATCATAATTCACAACCACACAGAGGAGCTTTAGGCTAAATGCGTGGCCGAAATCACTGCTCCACAGTATAGCAAAAGCATAAATTACAGAAATCTAATTACTTGGGGTGTGGCGTCCCAGGACTCCCTGAAGACAAAAGAAGACACAATACTCAGGCAGAATATATACTCAGCGCAGAGAAGGTGTCTGGGCTATTGGCATGGCCCAAAAGGCCAGGCCCACCCAGCGAGGTACAAGGGGCTAATTCAAGGTTTAAAAGTGGCGCCTCACAAATACCGAGGGACAAACCACCATTGCAATACATGGGGAATTAAATGCGCGATTAGGCGAAATATAAACCAATTGTAATTATATTTACGGTTGCCATATTAAAAATTATAGCCACCATGAAAGGCAGCTGAAACTGGATTAAAGAGGTGTCTTACTATTTCTCAAAATAATTGTATTAATAATCATTTGCGTTGCTCTATAGTGGCTCTGATTTCGACTGAAGTCACGAAATACAAAGTAGCATGTTCCTTGTTTGTCTTTTTCCCTCTGCCATTCAAACCCTTAGAACGATAAAGCCATGTTTATTAGTTAACTAGCGAATACTAATATAGGGACAGGGGAAGTCTGGGTGCTAAACTCCTCAAATAAAGGTCTACTAAATGTCATGAGTAATAGAATAAATTCGGAATTAAGTGGAATAAAACTTGTTACTTGAATTTGGCACCACAGTAGCTGTTATTTTATCAAAAAGTTTTATCCTAAATTTTCAGTCTTTTTGCTATTTCGGTATTTAGTTATCCGGTTGTTTCACTAAATGCGCAGCTTGAATTACTCAGTCGCCTCCAGGTTAAAGGGATTTACAACTACCAGAGTAAAAGTGTGCAGTGACCTTGTTTCTTATAAAATGTAGGTGTTTTTTGCACAAATTACTTGTTTTTACTGTTAAAAAATGAAATAAACTGATTGTGCTTTATACCCTCCCGAATGGTCTGGCGCGTTGTTAAAGTGGCTGCCGTACGTGTTTTATAACGATATATTTTCACTGAGAAGGTGAATAATTCCTGGAAAATATCGTAATTTATTACAGGTTTAGCACATTTTGTTGGGTGGGTGGCAGGGTCTTCTATCCCTAACTCCGGAAAATTTTATCTTATAGAGTTTTGCTTTCGGCTTGGCTAAAGGATCCCAAGTTCCAGCCTCCGCGAGTTATCGCAAAACCTTATAGGATTTTTCTATATATTGGTTTTTCAAATATGTCAAACCCTTGGCATGCTTTTTGTAAGGAATTGGCATCTAGTCCGACCCGTCCCCGTAAGATATCAAGTATAACCAATATCTTTTAGTCTCACCGCTTCCCTGCTTCAATTCTGTAAAAATTGATGGTATAGACCTCGCCATTTGAAACAACTTATTTTTAGGTTTGACTTCTGTGAAGTTGGGCTTCATTCCTGATGAACGGCTATTAGCATGCCGCACTTGTGGTGTAATGTTTCTGCGTGATAAAGCAGAGTCTCATTATGGTTTGCTTTTATCTATAATTATAGGTTTTACATATAGATGCATTTAACGAATGCCTATCAAAAAACACCTCCAAGTCTGATCTCTTGCCTTATCATGCAATAAGCTTGTGTCAAAAGCTCTACGAGGCTGCGCAGCTGGAAGAAAAATTGTCCAACAAGCGCTTGAAAGCGGACTCACTTCGCAAGTCCAAGTCCCTTAGAAACTTGTCACATACCAATCACTTTGAAAGTAACTCCGTCCCGAGCACTTCAGACTGCCACCGTAAACGCGCAAAACTTAAGCCTGATGTTCTGAGTCACCAAACTCTAGTTGGAGCCTCGCTCGAACGAGATAAAATGTCCTCGTCATCCAGTTATGATCGCCTTTCCTCTGGCGAAGTCAATAGTCCGGGTTCTGGTACAGAGTCGTCTAGCTCGGCTCCATCAAAGTTGGTTGAAAATCTGCCAGATCCTCCTAGCGGATTCCCCCGAAAAGGTCTGATGGAGATTCTGCAGGAGGAATCCGCTTCATCCTCTTCAAAAACGCGCCGTATGTGCGGGGGTCTTGCCAAACCATTGGCTCCGCATCCACTGAATCGCTCCGTTAGCTCACTAATTGATTTGCATTCTCAGTCTTATCCATCCAGCCCTGCCTCTCCGCCCATTTGTGATCGAAAGGAAGCCACTTGTGTATCCCCTAACGGTCATTCTACAAGAAAGAAAATATCTGTTAGAACTATTCAGTCTGAACATGTTGAAATTCCCCGTATTCACCCCGCCAAACAGGCGCCTGGAGAGTCCCAAATGCATACTCGCATGAGATCCCAGTTCGAGTCATGCATACCACACTCAATGTCTTTCAAACGGCATCATGTAGTTCGCAACCCTCCTCCTGCCGTTGAAACAGTTGATTTAGTTTCTAATCCTACTCCAGACGCTGACCCTCAACCTCCCCATGGTTATATTCCTTCCGACGAAACAGCTGCAACTGTACTTCATTTGGAGCATGAGAGCCGGGTACCAATGGGGAGATCACAGCTAATGAGGTCGAACCGCCTCCTGAGAAATGGTTCCAAAACTAACCTATCCGACTATGTCAATTTGGCGAAGACGGAGAAGACTTGGAATGCTCCGGATTTTTCAGCGGTTTCCGATGCCTGGCCAAGAAATTCGCACATGTCGGTGGTGGGAGCAAATCACTACGGCGCTTTTGTAGACTTCGAACCGATGCGTTCCCAGCAGGCTGAGAAACGGGCGTTCAGTTCAAACCTTGCAATGTATAACCAGGGCTTGCGAAGCTCCCCCGATCGTTCGGTGATTCAGCCACACTGTGTTCTTGACAGATCTAAGGATTTTACCTCTGAGCGTATGCATCGACAAAGCTTGCAAAATGGTAATCAACTCCTCCAATAACTAACCTTTTTCTCCTTTAGATACTGTGATAAATTTGCTTACTCAGTGCGGATGTGTTGAGATGGGCGACCTGCGTTGCAAAAATTCGATTCTCTGTGCAGTAAGTTCTAACAATTTTTGCTCCCGTTTGAGCATGGGACCAGTTGCGTTGACCTGCCATGGTGGAGGCTCCTCGCAAGAGCAAAATTCGCGTCTTGTGTGTGGCCGGTATTATTACCCTTCATAGCTGTAGGCGGTTTTAAATACATATGCTGTTCTTTAGAAAGGAATACAACCAAATTCTGGTTCGTTTACTGCTCCAAATCAGTGTTGAAGTGCTTGGTGTCACAGACTATAAATTAGAAATGCGTGAGTTTTATCCACACTTCGTCCAATAGGTATGAAGAAACGCTATGGTCAAGGCGCACCTTTTAGTGTTCCATGAATTGGTTCGATGTCTTTAAGTCCCCTTGTTTCATGGGATTAGTTCGTCACGTCGGGAAAGTATACGGTATTTTGCTCATAATTAGCAAGCTTATCATCAGGGGAACATTCACTTTTGCTAAACTTTATGTGAGAAGTATATGCTTAGGGGAACCGGTGCTACCTTTTGTGCTTGTGACCAGTCACGTAGACCCTTACGACGTAGCAACCATAGGTAGGCGTTCCCGGCCTTCCGTCTTACAGGCTGCTATTCTCTTTTCTGTTTCTCCTCTAATTCCTCCTACATCTGGATCATTAAAACAGCTTAGAATATTTTTTGGTTTAGTTGTTTGCTTAAATGTCTCAGGTGGTTCTGTGTTCGAGAACCAAATCATATTCAATTATTTGAACTAAATCTCTGTTTGACTTAGTGGAGGACTTCTCTTATTATTCAGATCGTATCTGTTCTCGCGTCATCAATAGGCTGTTGTTTTTCAGCCCACTAAATGGCTCCGGTTGGAATCCTAACTGCCATCTATCAACGACGCTAGTTACGAATACATTTTTGATTACGTTTGGACGCGATTTCGTAGTCTGAGGCCATGCTTTGTTGGATCGCCTAAAGAACATTACAAATTCAGATATTTTGGAATAATTTTCGGGTCTTGTCTGTTGATACCGTCCTCTTTCAGTGGATACGTCAAGTAATGCCATTTCGTGTCACTTCATGGGTTATTTTGAGTGATACCCTTTGCTCATTCGCTGTAGATGCATCGCTAAACCTAATTGAACTGCACACTTCAAAGGGGTTGACGCTACCTCTACTTATTTAGGGGTTTGACTCTTACCAATTACCTTGGTGCTTATGGTATAGCAACCATTCATTCGCTCGTTCCTATTCCAGCTTAACTAGTAATTTCGCGACCTCCCTGTTCATCGAGATATTATTGGTTTTCTCGCTAATTTATTCGTTTGACTTAATCCTTATATCTAGTCTCTATTTTTTTTCCAGAATAACGAAGTATGTTCCGCTTTCAAACAAAGTGTAAGAACTTCTCACTTGCTTTCTACCAAGTAGACCATGAGGATAAGGGATCTTTTTTCGATCACGTCTGTTCACGTAATGATAAGGCTTTTTTCCCATCTTTTTTTCAATGCTTTCGTTTGATCTACAGCCAAAGAATGGCGTGAACGTTGTAGTTATACCTGATGATCTTGTCACTTTGTTTCAGTCTAACCGTACACTACTTAAAGGCAGTTACGCATCTACACGTACATAACATGCAGATCTTACTATTTCCTTACCGACCACGCATTTTCTCATGACATACCCGTTTGTACGACTGAGAAATGGGATCAAGCAATTGTTGACCATCTGGACAACGAACTGTCATTTCACCTGCCATGGTCTAATGTGGGGGGTCTTATTGACACGAAAATATCGTGGCCGCATGCAGATCAATTGCCAGTTTACTTCAACATTGCTTTCGCAGTGCATACAATACCTCTGCAAATCGCACCTTTCCAGAGCACCACAACCAACTGGATATTTTAAAGCACTTTCAAGGCCCTATTTGTCGATTACACCCTTTTTCGTCTCCTTTCAAGACCCATACATTTGAAGAGAAACAACGGGTGCCTCGACCGCGTGACCTGAAGGTCTTGCTTCAAGAGGCGCGACAACAGCAACAGCGTTTGATACGGTACGTTTTCATGTGCCTCTCTAGCTCAAGCTCCCCCTATTTCGGTTTATAAGCTCGAAGAGCAGGAGCGTTTTTGGTGTTCACTGAGCTCTTTCAACCGAAGCATCGTCTCTCCTCTCGACATAGTACAGATCTCGAGCATTTTCGCGTAACGTCCACAAGAAAATGCTTCCGTATGAAAAATAGCTTTTCAAGTTCACCCTTGAATAATGGCTTTCGCAATTTCGCCGGGGTTGAATATCTGAAATGTCGTGGCTCAAATAAGTCTTGGTCGCACTAAGTGTTATCCTTCAATTGACTTTTTGCTAACCGTTCTGGAATATTACCATGAGCTGCAGCTCTTATCATGTGCACGACGCGTTTGTCCTTGATACGATTGCTGAATATGGTCTACTTCAACAGGTTCCAACAGTCTGGCTTTGGTTGCCGACATGTTGACAGCTATAAATGGACACCCGGTGGTGATCTCTTTCAAATAACATTGTTTCTAACTTTGAATACTAGCACGTAGTGTTTCAGTGTTGATCACATATAGGAGACTTGTGTTGTTTTGTTGCCCCATGAATTAAGTGATTTGGATTAATCCAGAAAAAAGCTCAAATCTTGCCTTAAAGTGAATTTGCCTACTTTTTGTTAATTCATATCTCTCCCAGCTTAATACAGTCACCTTTTCATTTGGTCTAAAAGGATGGATAATTTTCCCTTATTAATTCCTGTTTCAGCGATAACTTCTCACGCTAGCCGGTTGGTTGCTTTATCCGCGTCTGATTTTGTCTTTCAGTAATTCTGCTTTATTATCCTTATTCACTACATATACATTACCAGCCCAGTTTAAAGTTTAATCGAATGTTCTTCCTTATTTCTACGGTCTACAGCATCCCATCTATGCGGGCGAGACAACTTTCCTTTCATAATTTCTCCCTAGTTAATTTTTTTCGCAATTTGTGCCCAATCTAGTCCTTCTCTGTCCTATATTTTTCTCGTCGAAGCGGCATTTCCTTTTCCTGATTATCTGCGGGCAAGTCAGCTTCACATCCTCGTGATTAGTCTAGCCATCCTCGGTAATGGCAAAGTAGACAAAAACCTTAGGCCATAGTGATAACACAGACTTGATGCATCTATTTTTCTTTCAAATACGACTTATTTTTTATCAGAAAGTACACATGCTGGAATGTTTGCTCTGCGAAACGCAATTTCTAGGTGGATATGGCCTTGCAAGTGTCTTCGGATCTGAACTTCCTTTTTCCTTAACTTGAGGATCATCGGGGGTAGACACTAGTGATCTTGCAATCTTAACGTTTTAATCGCTTGAAAGCCCACGCGCACTTTGTTGGGAACACACAGAAATACACATTTTTATTTTTGCTATCTTTTTTTTCTGATAATCGGTTACAATCTGTTCTCTGGCATATGTCTATTCTGTGTTTACTTACCCCCCTTCCCCCAGGGTGTATCTCGACGCCTCATTGCTCTGTCGAGTATGTTTGTGGAAGGGCGTTCTGATTTGGAGTGCTTTAGTGGAAGCCCCGTTTCTGACACATCTGGTTTTTTGCGCAATTTGAAGTACAACCTTGACGCCATTCCCACTGTCGCGTTTTGGGTCGTTTGAGTAAAAAGCCCCTATTAACCCTCTATTGAAAGTCCTTCAATTAATTTATGTTTAGTCTTACCCATACCGAAGAGTTTGTAGCCTGGCGTTTCCTAGGCAGTTTTTGCTAACGTAGCACGACCACTTAACATAATCCGATTGCTAGAAATACATTACGTCTATGCCACCATTAGCGGTAACGAGGGGGGAGTAGGGGGAGAAGGCAACCGTTTTACCACTTTAAGTGTCGGAAGTGTATTTACCGTGTTATTTTTACCACTTACTAGTCTATGCTTTTAAGTATGATCTGAAGAAAAAGTGGTTCCCAAAGCACCACGTGAACTGCTCACATGCCCAAGAGTCAGCATTTTGCGCTTGTACTTCTGAGTTCAACGATATCATCTATCCTTTTCTCATCACTTGGAGGTTGTGATGGCCCTGTACCTCACATTCTGCTATCCATTGCTTATTTAAGCACCCACTTTGTAACCTCTCTTCACCACTAAAGCTCTATTACCTTTTTTCTTTGAATTTTTCTGGCTGTAGTCTTCATACGTCCGGTGATTTACTTGGAAGCATGGATCCAATTTATTACTTTGCACGGTATGATACGGTGTAGATTTCCCTTCATTATTCAAAAACTGGGTAATGGGAATTTCTTATTCCACAAATTAGAAAGTGGGAAAAAAGGCAACACTTGGATCATTCTGTATGTCCTAGGGGTTGAGCACTCGTTCGTGTGGTTCCTACCGGCCAGTTACGGCCGCCAAATAGTCTGTCGTTGCTTTCTTAAATCCTCTCACTTACCAGCTGGAATTTCACCTCAAGCACAGCTACCTTTTTTGAAGGATTGATGCATTAATCGCCTGTGACGTTGATTCACACCAGCCATACGATGCTATTCGCGATTTACACGCACTAGGGGGAATTGGGCATCTGTCAGCTGTCCTTAACGATGCTTGATTTCCTGTTATTGAAAGGTCTGTATCTTGGTGTCCGTCGTTCCTCACTTTTTGTCTAGTGATTCATTGGCCTCTGGTCGTTCTCGAGTCATTTGCGAGAAGTTCATTTTATACTCTTCCATTTCGAAGCTTCATCGTCCCACGCGGGCTGAAGATTGAAAAATGATTTTCAACCGCCTTAACGCCTGCTGACTCAATGGTTTTATACCTCATCCTCTGCTTACATTTGCTGCACAGTCCGCCCCAAATGTAGAGCAATGTCTAGTTATCTGGTTTTTTGAGTTCAACAATGAAAAGTGTTATCTTCATCTTTGACCGGAGTTATCTATTTGTTTGTTGTAGTAGTTGTGAACTTTCTACACTCCATGTTGCTGGTTCGCTAGCTAGAGCTGTTGGCAAGACGCCAACTTCACCGCTAATTTATGTTTCGTAGGTGGATAGGCAGGTGGGTTAAAGCATGATCAACTCTTTAAACGGCTTTGATGTGTTGTTTGTTGATGATTTTCTGCGCTTTTGCAATGCTTCTGACGTATTTATAACGTTTCTTCATTGCACGTGTGCCTGCACGGCATTTCCAGTATTTGCCTTCATTCAGGCACTTGGGGTTGTCATTCTTCATTTCATGTGGTTTAGGATGAACTGACTATTTGTAGTCTTCAGTGTATTATCTTCTATTTACCACTAGTTCAAAGTGATAGGCAAATTCAACCGTAGTTTTGTGTACTAACAGCTCTATTATTTTGTGCATCAAGTTCCGCAAAATGTGGGACCTTTACTTCCACTATTTCTGGGCCTTCTTTTTCAGGTTCCATGTCAATATGGGGTTATTTATGTCACCTACAGCCCTTTTAAGTAAATTATTCTGGTTAAATCCTCCTACAGTAATGTCGCATTATTCGCCATTCATTGGTTTATAACTCTACTGAATAATCCCTTAGTTTTACAACAGTGCGAAAACACTAGACTGTGAGGGAAGAAGTATAGGCGTTTTCACTTTTTCTTAGTGTTTAACCATCAATGTGGAAGGTGTTGATTTGATTTGTGATTGCTATTTCAGGCTTCATGAGGCTCCTGTGCCCGCCAAAATTCGAAAAATGGCCTCCTCATCCATAGCAACCTCCACGCTCCCTACCATTACCTCCACTACCGCTACTGCTGCTTCTCTGATGCCATCACCGTCTAGAGGTTCGGCCACTCCCTCCGTCCAAAGATTGCCGACTATTTCTAACTCATCGGTGCCAGCACGACGTGTGCCCGTGAACGGAATTACTGCGACTGCGGTGGAGAGCCAGCCGCTGACAGGCATGCAACAGCAGCAGCAACCAACCATTCTGCATCGCCGTGTGCACCACCCCTCTAGTCTACTGCGGCGCAATCAACAAATGTGGGGTCAGGAGAAGTCCACCTCCAGCTTTTCTACCGCGAATACCAATTCGGCTGCTTTTTACGCCCCTTCTAATGCTTCTGTTGCTCCATCGCTTCTTCCTCCTCCCTCCACTTCAGTTATAACGAAGATGACTCGGGACGTGGGTCGCCTCGGTGGTGTTTCAGAGGTTCAGGTGAGTTTACTGGGACCTATTTACCTTGTCTCACCTTTGATCACTTTTATTGCCACACCTTTGTTCAGCCTTTTTTCTAGAACTTTTATTGATACTGCGCTTGATGGTATACATATTTGTACTCTCCGTTTAATCGTCTTATTAGAAAATTGGCTATGATCGTTTGAAATTTTATCAACTATCAACTTTCGTCTTATTTCATTTGCATGGGTTGCTCGCATTTCATCGATTCCCTCTTTGAAATCTGTTAAAATTTCCTTCTTTTGAAGTAGTTGAAGACGCCGATCTTGTGGAAGTGTAGTTTCGACTAATGTTTTTTTGATATCATTTTCTCATTTTGCATTCTTTGTTCTATGGAGAATTAATCCTTCTGTTAGGAGAATTCATGTTTGCTTTTGAAATCATTAAATCATATATTACTGACGATTCCAACTCAAAACTGATGTTTCCTTTAGAAGCGCGATCTATCCATGTGAGGTCAAACATCGCTGTGAATCTTGTCGCAATCCAGCTCAATTCAAATCATATTGCCATCGGCAGCTTGACAACTCGTCGTCGCGGTCAAATAATGGAAATACTAATAATTGCTTTGTCTAGTGTGGCGTTACGGTTTGGAAAAACTAGTCGACTAACGCATTCGCTATCAGCGTCACATACGTAATGTTCCGCCAACTTTCTTACCTAAGCCTGGGGTCACAAACACAGCGTAGTCGCTGCACGATAACTATGTGCACCAAATCCTGCCGCAACCAGATTATCTGAATTTAAACCAATACCATGTGCACAGGATGGTTTTTGGTCCGAGGGTCGTTACACTTCCTGGTATTTGAAAAGCAATTGAATTGGTTAGTTCTGCGGTGCAGGTGTATTATATTGCAAGAACAAACCATCCAGACTGTGATGGTTAAGTGTTCTCCAGGAGCTTGGCTTGTTTGTTTGCAACTTGTTCTCCATGTTACTGAGCGTTCAGCAGTGACCTTAAAGGCTTCAAGCCCTTTTCTTGTACGATGTTGTTTTCAATGCCAAAAGTAGCAAGAATGGTCTGACCTGTTTACGGGTGATCACTACCTCTTCTACCTCTAATAATGTATTAACTTTTGTGTGTAAGACGGCATTACTTGACTTTCTTGAATCTGCCCGTGTTGTTGATGCTCTCTATGGGACTATCAAAATTCCTACCCAATTACTTTTTGCCAAATTAGATTTCTTTTATGCATTGTACTGAATATTACGTAAACTTTACTAGCGTGCTCCACTTAACCTCTAAATTAAAAGTATGACATACCGATATAAAAAATTGTCTATTTTTAGCCTACGGGCGAGCTGGAAAATTTTAGTCGTGGGCATGAGGGCACGCCGCCTAGGTGGTGGAGGAATCCACGAACGCGGTTGACTCCGCATATTTTTATTGCCTAATTGAATACGTCTCGTTTCACTACGTAAATTCCCTTTTTTCTTGGGTGCCGCACGGGATGCCTCTCGTGGTAACCCACCTTTCCACTTCGTTGATAGTCTTCCTGTAAGTCGTGATCAACCACTAGGCCAAAACGACAATGGTACGATGCATTTATATCGTAGGGGGAACGACACCTATTAATAGTAGTATATGCTTAGATTGAATAAGAACTCTTGAGCATCGTGTCCTGTGCAGAGTGAACTGTATCAAGGAGCATTGATGGGCGAGATGGTTTTGAGGACTAACCGATGTTCTGCAGGGAGCACACTGTAACCATCGCTTTTTGTATGAAAATTCATCTTGAAGTAATTTTAGGAAGAATAATGTCATGTTCTCAGACTATATTGCGAAGTATTGCTTCCAAGTACAGGCCGTAAGCTTTTCTTTAAGGTCGATTTCGATTCACTAGAGCCTCACCTTGCTCTGTTAGTGGTTACTACTGGAAGTTCAAAGCTGGGAACTTTTGAAAGGTCGACGCTGTTTAATTCCTTCTTTAGTGAGTCTCCGTAGCTTCATACATCCACAGAAGGCATCTTCCGTCTCCAATACTTAGGTTTGGTAACCATCCAGTGAACTCAGAATTGCTGTTCATTCGGGTCGAGATGCTGTGTGTGGAATGGAGGCCCCGCCTTTAAGATGGTGCTAAAACCTTTAATGACTGAAGATGACGAGTACTTAAATGATCCGCCAAATAAATACCGTCTAACTATAACATCGAATACCTTGTATCCTTCCTTTCAAATATCGGTATTGATTGCGTGTTCCTCGATCATGCGTAGACTTTGATTTTGGACTTTACAGTTACGATCCCTTCTTGAATACTTAGCTGAACTTATGTATTTTAATCCTTGTTTGTAGAAACCGGGCTAAAATTAAAAGTTCGCCATTAGTTCTTTTTTGGGTGCCTAGCGCCATTGTCCAGGAGATCATTTTCCTTCGGCAGAAGTATTGCCTTTTTCCTCGCTTTTCTTCCCATTTCTAGACGTGCCTCTCACGCATTCACTGACTCATTGAAACAAAAACTTGAACGTACTTTCTGTCTAGTCATCTTGTGCCTCTTTTTTAATCAACCCTCCACTAATTACGGCCTCTCTTTTCTGGCACACACGCACGTGCACAGGCATTTTTGATAGTTGGACGGAATGCAGATGGTGGGATCGTTTTGGGTTTTGTCAAGTTGCATACCTTTCTCATCGTCCGATGACGTGATTGATGATTACACCATCTCGGGTATGGTCATTGACGCATTTTGGAGCTTAGTGGACCCCAGCTGGCACTTCGTTTCGGCCTCTCTTGGTGTCTCAGTTATTGTGTGGTTTGGTTTGCGGACATTTCATTCAGAACGTTCTTTCAGAGAATCAGTTCCATCGTGGAACTGATAACGTATCAGTTAAGTATTTTGGCTAGGACTCGACTACTTGATGCATCAGTTTAAATTTGGGATTTCCTCCTTGTCAATCAGTTCCAATCTTCAACATGCTTCAGACATATCTGGGCTGGAAATGAAGTCGATGCCAATTAACTGAAAGAAACTGTGTTGTAAGAAAACTCATTTATCTTAAAACACGAATTTTTAATGTGCCTTTAATCCCTATCATATTACACTGTTTAGAACGTCGATTGTGTAGCCATTTAGGGCACGTACTTCCAATATTGTGCGAGTGGTAATCAAATAAAATTTGGTTTTAAAATCTGACTTTTTACACCATATGATCCAACCTTGACACTGTCTTTTTTATCGGGACTTCATTTTTTTTCATTCTGATGACACCATTTCGTCACAATTTACATACACCGACAGCATATTTACCTTTGACCTTCAATCGAAGTTCCTGTTTTCTTCTATCCGTTTATTCAATTTCCACAAATAGAAGGTGTATTTTACCCCATGTTCTCACAGCACCCCGTTTCTGCATGGTATATTGAGATATCAAGCCATGGTTGTATAACACCTCATTCACCATTGGGTGGTTCTGTCATCGCTCTGCAATGGCACACTTGCTATATCATTTTCCTCCATTAAATTCTCATGGTCAAACATAGCCTAATTTGCCAACTTGATTCAGTGGTAGGTGACTGCAAAAAGTTGGAAGACAAGTCATGCCATGCTTACTGTTCGGTGTCGACTGCAAAGCGTCCTTGTTGGACCATATTACCATACTACACATTGAACAAAAGCCATCGTCATCAACTGTCCTTGGATTGGTATTTGTGTTGTCAAGGTTTTGCATTCATATTTCAGTATTCGAGCTGATTCTTGATTACTTGTCGGTTTAGTCGAAGTACACAACCCTTTTGATCCATTTTTCGTTATCGCGACGCCGTGGAACTGTTGAAGTGCATCGAATTCTGGCCAATTATGGACTTCATACTTTCAGGGCTTCGAGATTTCTATGGAAAATAGCATTTTGGCTTTTAAAGTGCTGTAAAAGTACATCCTAACATTTGGAGCCTCGTGAGTGATATAGTTCCAACCATCTAACCCTGTTACTGTTAGTATTTTCCCCTGTTCTCCCCCTTTCCTACGCTCCCATCAAATTTTAAAGGAATGGCTAAGCCATAATTCACTCCAAAGACCTTATTTGTGATACATCCCTCTTGTGGCTTTAAAAGTGCGAACGCCTGGTATTTGATTCCTCCTCTTCCGTCTGTCTGGAACCACAATAGCAACTTCCTTCAGCATGTTATCTACATCCGACGTCTCAGTTTTCTTACCTGAGGCTGTGCATCAAACATATGTGACACGTTTGATTAAACTGAACTGGCTTAGACTGGAAAGGAAAAATAAGGCATAAACAGACGGTGCTATGATAGGATAGTAAACATTGGAGTGGTGGTAATTGAGTTCCTTCTGAGGCTCTGGTAGCGAACGTGCTAATCGTTACCGTTGCAGAGTTCCGGCGGTTCCAACGATATTTCTTTTTTTTCGGTTACCCATACATTTAGAAACAAAAACTTGCCTTCCACCTGCCTTGTTATTACCCGGTTCTGTTTCTCTATTTTTGCATTTCGAATGTCATGTGTTCTATGCTGTGTGCTTCGTATTATGCAACTTTAGCAAATTCTATTTCAGAAGTATGTTCTTACGTGGCTCTTACGAGCTTTTGATTCATATCTAGGTAATCACATTATTTTTCATCTTAAGATGAAGCCACGAATCGTGTGCAGCGAGCCATTTTTGTCGCTGCTTTCCCTCCTTCCCTCGCTGCAGCAACCGATTTCCCCCCTAGACAGGTCACCTCCAAATACTCCCGTCTGGTCTTCGAACAGACATGCGATTTTTTTATGCTCTGCCAAACTTTTAATGTGGTTTTGCTTTTGGTGTCATGGATTGCTTAAACTGAATGCGGTTAAGGTTTTTTGGTGGCCATTTGACGACAGAAATGTTTGCATGGTAAGTTATTTGGGTGTTCGAGCGAGAATCGGTCTCTTGATTCAATTTTCCCGGAGAAAAAAAAATGGGTTGAATTTACTTGAACCCAAATTTTTCTGAATGCTAAAAAGGCAGAAGTTGGAGTTGTATGTAGGAATGAGGCAGAACAAGGTGCAGTTTAAGTCCAAATATGATTAGTTATAACTACATACTAAACAGTACTGCGGCACATAAGGCGAAATAAATCGAATCGGGTGTGATTTTTGGCTACTAACGAATTGTAACCCGTAGATACCCTGGCAATGCCAGGTAGGATGAATTGAGCACTTTACTGAAATGTTCTTGCCTTGTAGAGTCGTGTCGTGGTTAATGATGAGAGGGAGAAGTCCATCACGGGTCGATCGCGAAAGTCTTCTCGGAGTGGAATGCGACAGCCTGCTTCCTCCATACACAGTAGGTGTTCTCCCTACCGTTCTGATCCCATGGGACTAATGGGAGGCTGCTGACGTTAATACACAAACTCGGCTCTTCTCCTTAAGACCCATACATTCAACACCTCACCGCAGCATCCTCGAATCGTGCCAGCTCGACTGCGGTGCTTCTTCGAGCCTCAGCAGCCAACCAGATCGCGGCAAAACTGCGAAGTGCTGCCGACCCAAGAGACCCCACTGGCACCACTACGTGGATGGGCTACAATCGTGGCGCAAATGCCTCCAATCTCCCATTAACCGTGCCAGCCTCCTCTACGACCACAGCTTCCAGACATTCCAATTCCACTGCCACCGTCTCTGGCCCTGCTGCTATGGCCAATCCTCAAGCGTTCGGCTCAAACCGATTGATTTTTATTGGATCCAAGGCCTTGAAGAAGGTAGAGTGAGTAGGTGTTATTGGATTAGTGATCTCCTACTTTCTTGGAAGGTGTGTATTGTGGCTTCACGCGAATTTTAAAGAGGCCAGTCGAATCAAGGCACATGGCAGACTTAACTCACACTCTTCCGAATTTCGGGGGAGGGGGCATTTGCGCTCAAATGAGACTTGGGACTTGCAAAAAGAGATGGGAGAAGACCAATTTTAAGAATTGAACGCTACCTCGTGCTTCGACATCTATAAACTTATCTCAATACATAATCCATGGAAAGATTTGTTGTTGCGGCCGAGTCATCGTGGGGGCTGAAATGCTGACCTCTGAGGTACTCTTTTAAGAATAAATTTTATCACATGAAATAGACTCTTTGGTTGAATTTTGATATCCTTGTCAACTCTTTTCATTCTAGTGCATCATCGGTTTCTTTTTTCCTGGTCGCAAGTGGAAAACCATCATAGCATCTAGCGCGCGTGAACTTTTAGACGTTGCGAAAGTTTGTGATTTTTGTGTTCACAGGTTATGCGTCAATCACACACCTGGGTTCGGGCGTTTTGCGTACTGACTGACTGTTTGCGGTAATGACTGTTGAGACTGTGGGGTGGGAATAAGTCACTACGCCAAGGATCAACACTGACGTATAGTCGTACGGCCGTCCTGGAAGCGTGCGCACTATTCCACTGTCTTACTGCTGAGCAACTGGGAGTACCCGTTATCATACCGTACTGTGTTTTGTGCTATGCTTAAAGTCTAATGCACAAGTAAGCGTAGGAATAAACATCCGCGGAGTCGTGTTTGATGCGCTCCTTCGCAGGAAACTTGCTTCATCGCCCTTCATACGCTGTTGGATGCAAGCGCTCACTACTACCGATGTCTAACACCTTGATGGTGTCTGGACCAGCAGGTGACATGTGCGCAGACTGTATGTGATAAGATACACCGTCCACTTACCGCCGTGTGTAGTGTGGTACATCGACTAATAGCTACTTGGCCCCGTGTGTCGTGCTGTCGCGATCTCACCTCTTTGGCAGATGGTTAGATTAAAAATCCTCGCTTAGTTTGCACACCCTTGGGCTGAAAACACTAGGTCAGATTGGTTGAAATGAAGATGCCAAATCTGAAAACATGATAGTGAGACAACAACCGATAGAAAGGTAGTGATCGGTTTGTATTGTTTATCTGTCATTGGAAAATAGACATCAGCATTTTTAACTTCGATCGCACGGAAGGAACTTTGGGGACGTGGAAAAAGAATTTCACCAGTTTTTTTCCAAAGGGCAAAGTTGATTGATGAGGATAATGACTTTAAAGGTGTGTTTCTCGGGTACGTTGTGCTGATATTTGGCATGATAATTCGAACACACTGGCTCGTTTACGCAAGTCTCAAAGGGACAAAGTACGCTCTATCTTTCGTCAGCTGTTAGTCTGGATAAAATGTCCTTTCGTTTTATTGGTTTTGTCTACACTCCGTCGAATTATTTATTCCAAAATGTGGGACTTGATCGAACCTCGTGCCTTAAGACCTAGGTTCGACATACTTTTGTTGTGCAAAAGAACATCGTTGATACAACTTCTTGATGCATTTCACCGAATAACTGTATTATCCATCCGGCCTTTAAACCACCAGAAAGTGGAAGTTGACAGAGTTGATTCTCATGGGGAGAGACAGACTCCATCGTTCCAACTTTTGAGGTTTCACCCTTCTTTGTGTTTTTTGGAGCCTTGCGGCTGATAGACCCTTGTAACGAAAGCCTTTCTAGCGCCTTTAAGGACCTCTCTAGTTCAATTGGCAAGCACATTTGTCAAGTAGTGGATAAGTTAAGTCATGGGCTTGCCAATGGTGGGTCGATATTCGGTTCCGGTGTGGTGTGTCGGAGGCATAGCTTTCTGTCACTTTTTGCATTTGTCTGCCGAAGGTTGAAGAAAAGGTGGATTTCGCTACCGCAGGACTCGTTTAGGCAGTGGTCTTTATTAGCGGTGTTGTAGCTCGAGCTATGAACTTGTGGGTTCTCCGTTCACCAGTGCACTAACTCAGTAGACTGTTGGCAACACCCAAGTTAGGTGTTAAGATATACTCATGATCTGGATTTATTAATTGCTTGGTTATTGTGGCGAAAGAATAATCGGAGTCTCTAAATCGATGTGCACTGAAAACTAGAATTACCTTCTCGTAGTGGCGTCATTGAGGTGTGATGAGAGCTGCTATAACATTTTTGTACTACAACAACAATATCTTACAAAGTCCACTCTGATACACATCCTTTCGATGCTTATTTGTTAAATGAATCTTTTTGGGATGATCCATTCAGTTTGGGCTAACTTACAGCAAGGGCATATCAGTAACTGCTTGAAGTTTACTTAAATCTCCATATAGTAGGAGATACTTGGGCGTGCATATTATAACATTCTTTTTCCCAGTTCGGTGTTGTTTTGCTTCCTGTGCGTTTATCTTGACTTTTTTCGGCCCCTCCACATGCTCTACTTTGATCTGTTCAATCAACATCTTACTCAGTTCCATTTCGTTATGAAGAATAGCTGCGAAACGAGAGGTATCGGGGGACTACATACTTTTCGCCTAGATCTGGCCACTTTTTCCCTTTTGTGGTCGTCCACGCTAAGTATCCCCTCAAATTGTCCGCTTTGGTGCGAGATACCAACATAGTCTAGTCTAGAGAGTAATAAATGCTGCATCCATTCGTAATAGCTGTTCAAGGAGTGCGTCCACCTCCAATATGGCGACCAGTCATCAGAATGTAGTTCTACGAGTGTGAACAACAAGATTGAAACGAGGTGAGAGGTGTAACACTACCCACGTCCTCCACTTTGGTCCAACTATCCCAAGGGTCCCATAACGTAGGTATTTGGCGAATGTTTATAGCTCGTGTCTGATGGAAAAATTATAAAGCATTTGCGCGGGAATTTTCCCTGTCGTACTTTCCAACGGTTCATCGGTGCTTCTTCGACCTTCTCAGATCGCTAGTCTTTGTGGCTTTCTAACTCATGAAATCACGATCTAAATCTGCTATAGGTCACGATGGAGAACATCTCTTCCATGTTGGACACCTTTTTTCGATTTCAATTTAGCTTCATGCTCCAAAATAATGTGGTTCAGGCTATTACATTCAGCCTTAACACCTTTGAATTCTTGAAGCATTAGGCTGCACTGGTTTTATCTCGCCGCGCTGTCCTTGTCATAGCGTTCGAAGTATTCCCTTAGGTTTACTAATGAATCACATGTTTACAACAGAGGGCGTAGGATGATACGTTGAAGTACCACCCAGTAGTGTGTTTAGATAATACGTTTGCTAACAATGTCTCAGAGGAAGACTCGACCACCACAACTCAGATACTTTATTGTTTAGCATGACACCAACACCTGCAGTACCAAACTGACCAATCAAACTGCTGCTGCGAAGCCAAAAAATGCATTTTCCCTCAGGTCAAGAACATGCTACACATATTTCATCGTTTTACCTGCTCTATTGGGTGCACGAGTTAGTAGAAAAAGTTGTTCGTCATAAACTGATGAGGAACACATCACCTACCTGTGATGTCGGACCCAATTAAGCACATCTAGGCGTCATGTACATGCGCCACTACCAGTGAATATGTTAATGGTCAACAAGCTGCAATATTTGTGTGCCTTCAATTTAGGCCGGCTCTGGAAACCGTCTAACAGTAGTTCCCAGCCTAAACATAATCCAAGCCGCCCATCGCCACCACCAGCAGCGTCCTCAGTCTTCCTCAGCACCTCCTATCGACTCGGCTTCTATGCATCTGGAGACGCCACGAGAGCTCATTATTGATGTGGCGGAGGAGGACGATGATGTTGTGGCTGATGCTGATGCTGAATCGGCGATGGCGGCAGCGGAGCTAGAGGCTGCGGTCGCGGCCTCGGCACTTGCTTCTGAACCTAATCACGACGACTCCATCGACCACCATCATCAACAGCAACAATTTTCACGCACTGCCGGAGGTGGCACTCATCATAAGGCGAATCTGCGACCGTCACTTTGCAGTGTGCCTGCTGGGGTTGGTTTTTTTTGGCTTGCCGTGGTGCTTTTGATTTCTTGTATTTCCCTGAAAACAGGTATCTCAAAAGAGCTGGTGGTGGTGTTGGTTTTCTCATTTTTTAAGGCGATGCAATCTTCTTCGTTTCTTGTGGCTTGTCGAGGCTATTACCGTTTTTCACATTCAGTGAATTTTCTAGTTGAAATGCTTAAAGGGCGTTATTCAATGCTAGTGCTTTTGTTGGGTTAAATAGGTGATTTATTCCACAGTCTGTGACGTCTACGCGCTGCTTAGCTTGACATTTTTTTGCTTGCCTTTAAGAAACCCTTACTTCTGAGGAACTGGTGGTGTTAGCGAAATTTTTTCTTATTTTCCGAGCAAATGGGTAATCCTTAATTCTTTTGGCCATGAAGACACAACTATTGGGTTGGAGGCAAGTAGCGCCACTAATCACTCTCCCCTTAATGGTAACATATTAGTACGGTTGGCAGCAGACAATTCCGGAGGATAGACACACGGAAGATGCTTTTCAGGGCCTACTTGGGAATCGGGGATTTTTGACTATGCCCATCGGTTTCTGCGGCTCGAATTTCTCAAACTAGCGATGTTTCTTGCTATGCGCGCATTAACCAATGACACCTTTGAAAAGAAAATTAGCCCTTTTGATGTTCTGGAGTTCTGTTACACAGCTCATATTTTTGTTTCACCTATTCACGTTTTTATAATCCGTGAAAAACGAAAGAGCGGCCAAGATGGCGAACTGGAGGTTGAATCCCAGATCAGGGATGCTTCATGCTTGATGGCTTATTGGATAATTTTAGTTCATTCTTCAATCTCTTCCTATTATTATCGTAACTGTGATTTCTACTTCTGACAAAACACTCATCGTGAATGTGAAATCTGTTGTTCTCCGGCTAATAAGCTTTTCAGACACTAATTTTTCCAATTCCCATCCTTCAAGCAAATCCCAAGAGGAATGGTGCGAAGACACTTCCCCTAGACATTGGCTTACTCGATTTCTTCCTTTCGACGTAAACAAGACTGGTGTCTGTTTACCCATGGCCGATGACCTTCAGGCTGGCGGGTGAACTCCTTTTCCTCGCAAGAATGCGGCTGCGTCATGCGTGGGTGACGTCCGCTCGAGGTGATTGGTCGGTTCAATCGCCGTACTCTCGCTCATGTCCACAGTGCGCAATATTAATCGGTGTACTTTTATGGCCACGCCTATTCTGTACTTTTTCTTCTATCTTGAAAGCCAACCTGACACTGCAGCCTTTGAGGCACGGATTGGCGTATTTTCCACACTGCATCTCAACGGTTACAAGCCAGGCTAATGACGACTACAAAAGGGTCAAAAGTGGTTCTTTGCTCTTTCAGCAAATGCTTGTCTTCCAAACGCGTCGTATGTGAAAAACGCAGTGGATAATGCCGCAACTATCGTTGTCTTCTTCAATCACCTCACCTCTTACCTCAGTGAAGGGCCTCGGGTTCTACGAGCCTTCATAAATGTGTCCCTTGACTCCAAAGACCTTTTGTTTTCTTTCTCCATTTCCTGTCTTTTTTATTTCTCTTTTTTTCTACAACAATGCTACCCACGATAGCAATGGCACATCAACGCATTTGAGCGTGCGTGGGCACGTCCTTCAGCCCCCTCCCTGTCTGATGTACCTCCTGCGCTGTGCCAAGAAAGAAGCCCCCTTCCGCTTGTTGTGTGTGTGTGCTTGAGGAATCCTCCGCCTGCATTTGCTCGAAAGCGGAGGGTCGAGTGTCGAACGCATATGTACCACCACCATCAACATCCAGTCTAGGTTTTAGTACTCCCTCTTCCACCAATCAGGCGACTGCGCAACTGGGCGCAAAATCCCCAAACGGAACGGATGAATGAAGCCAATTTTATGTGATGCATCCATCTCTTTCTCCCACTCCCACTCCCACACCGTTCCTGTCGCATCGTTCGTGGCAAATTGTGAAAAATTCGTTTTTTGAAACCTTGGAACCGTCTTACTTTGAACTTCAAATAGCACAAATCGGGTTATTCCCACTGGGTTTCACGATCTCATTGGGTCGCTTCACACCTACCGTCATTATTTCACCGTCAGTTGGACTTTGTTTTGTAGATGAGGCAAAAAACGTACTAAAAGGCTGATTTGGTCGCCCGGGAGGTTTGGTTATCGTTAAGATAGTCAACTTTGTACAATTGTTATGATGGGAAATGACTAATCAGGGATTGCTCCTTCTGATACTTTACTCCATCTCTATTATAGCCTTTTCCTCAAGAGTTAAAACGCCTAACTGGTGTCGTTGCTATCGCGTCCACTTTCAAAGAGTTTGCCCCGGGACATGGGGTAGTCTTACCCACCCTCGAGTTGAATAGCATAGTGTAGACAGATCTTGGCGAATAAATCCGTCTGTGATCCGCTGCGATCCCTCGTGGAGCAAGCATAGTGTTCTGGGGATAAAGCTGTGGGCGCCTTTGAATTGTGAAGTGGGCAGTGAGGGTATTCTACGTGTTCATTTGATGAAGGAACGTTGGATCGCAAATACCATTTCTAATCGCAAGCCAGTTGATCTCGAAATCTGATCGTCATCAATGAAAATTGAGTGGGACCCACCAGCTCAGCTTTCCCGGCTTTTCGATCTGGTTCACTTGCAAGCGATTTGTTTCGTCACCTCAAGAATACGGGGCTCTTTCTGAAGGCGATGCATTAATACCTTTGTGTGAATCATTAACTAGTCAGGTGGTTGAGATTATATGAGGGTGGCAAGCTCTGTCACCTTGGCTTTTGTATTTTTGAAACCTTGTCAAGCTGGGATTGTAAAGCCAGCAAGCTGGAAATCGCGTCCATCAGTTTTGCCTGGTATTTGATGACAGAAGATTGGATCCAGAACAAGAAGAAAGTAGTAGGGGGGTTACCGTACCGATAAGTAGATAGACCCGCCCATATCCATTACGAGGGCCTGTAATGTGCGCACATGAACAATCATATGCACTTGCCAAAACTCCGCCGTCTAGTGAACCTGAGATCATTCGGGTATCATGTAGTCGAGTTACACAAACCAATGTCCCACCATTAGGACAATGTTTAAGCGGGTAAATTCGCTCATCCCCATGAGGTAGTCTTTCTCGATTTACGGAATGGGAATAAATAAGGATAAGGTGAGTAGTTTTGGCATGACATTCAAGTAAGTTTGACATCTTATGACCCCATAATGGTGCCTTTCAACCCGATTAGCCTGTGTTACTCATATTCCATTGTGTGAGTAAGCGATCACTTCAAGAGCATGTTGGATTTTCAATCGGATTAGTCGATTTCCGTATGAAATTCTCTTGCCAGAATGCCTAGCATTAGGCATTATAAATTGTTAAGAGTAAAAGAGGCACCATCTTTCCGTTTGTTGTAAAACCAAAAGACAATTCTTTAGCTATTATAACCAGTTCGACCACGCGTGACACTACTTATTTCTTCTCAAAGTAGACTCGGACTTTTAGGAAATTCCCTGCAGATTGTAACTTTAACTGGTAGTTACCATCTCCATTGATGGGTAGCAAGTTGGACAAAACCCTAGCCTAGCATTCCTCAATCCAATCATTGAAATATACACTCTCAACGCTGTAGCGCCGTGAGTATCCACCCGAAGTCGTAACGAGTCCCACTAGCATGAGGAAAAATGCATTATCGACGTACAGTAGGACTGAAAGGCCGTATCGTTGAAAATAAGCATAAGTCACCGTGATTGAGGGCTTTACGTGGCTATACATTCATATAGACAAAACATCATATCCACACAGTCCTTGGCTCGATGGTTATTGTGACTAAATGCAACTTAGTGAGGTTTATGTAATACCTTGATTTTTGTTTAAGGTTGCGCCTTTTGTACTTCTGCTGGGCGGCATGTCCTCTAAGCTACATCAGCAGCTCCTCAGCTCTTTTGTACGTCAAAAATACATATTCTGCCCAAGTATTATGATTGCTTGCGTCTACAAGCGGCAGCGAAAAGAAAGCCTGATCCCGACCGTCTCCCGTATTCTACCGGAATGCTATTAATAACTAAACCGACTCAGCCGTGAACCATCCGGAAAAGTCTGTCACGAAGCTGTCAATGGTACTGTACGTAAACGCGATACCTCCTCCACTTCTACACTAGTTAGGCGGAACCCAGATAGATATGGCTGGGGAATCCTGGGGCAATAACAAAGTAGCAAGGAAGAACAGACGCCATACCTTATCCCCATGAAACTATCTTAAACCCCGTCTTTTGTTACATTTCTCTGCTTTTAGACCAGTGTCCTTGCTCCTCCGGATTCAATAGATTTGCCAAGATGGATCAGTGATGTTGGAGTTAAGTATCTTCTCAGTTACACCCTCGGTACTGAATACTTTGTGATGGCTAAGGCGGTAGGATGACCGAGGGAAGCGCTGGAGACGACGCTTTAAAAGAAGGGCACTGTATATCACTTCCTTTTTTTAGTTCTTTTTGGTTTCGAGGACCTTTAAGATCCTGCCGTTGTATTTCCTCTGGGCGGCGATGCCTCCGGACCGAGCCAGTAATCCCTCAGCCCTTCTCTATGTCGAGAATACACTTTCTGTTTTAGTAATATGTCCTCTATCGCCTTCAAGAAAGACTCGGGGCGCTGGATTTTTTTATGATTCATCAAGAGGATGGAGAATTTAAGTCAGATGTAGTATTTTCACCGAAATAACTCTCAATAACATGGGTATTTTGCAAAAGTTTTTAATAAATAAGCCTTGGATGATTTAAAAAAAAAAAAACATTAGTTTTGATGGCCCCGGGAAGAGTTGTACTTTTAATTTATTAACCTGAACATATTTCCCCTCACTCCCCTCTGGGTCGCATTATACATTCTAGGGTAATAAAATCCCCCTTATAAGTTCCAAGTTTTACCTCAAATGCTTCACTTCCGTTCTTTTGTCCAAACTACCCTCAACTTCAAACGCCTGGATTGAGAAGGATTTTGCAAACGGTCTAGGTTTCATGGGAGAATCGGAGTTGACCTCCTCTTTGGGGAGAAATGGCTCCTTCTCAGCCACGAGATCAGTCCAATGTGCCCGCTCGCCAAACACGGATTGTCCAAGTACTTTCTATGATTAAGGTCCAAAGAGTTGTTAGTAAAATCTACTAAAGCGTTGGACCACAACCGCTGTGAATTCTAAAAAAGGGGAATTTGCATCCGCCTTCCATTTTTTCGGTACAAGTCCTGAAGAGGATTGATTAGTTGCGTTGTCAAGGGAAATGAACGTACATTTCAGGGAATTTTATTCTTCAGCCAGTTGAGCATCCTCTGTGACTTTCCTTGGCCTTTACTCCCCTCTTAGGTAAAGAAGTCCGTACCCACGAAGGCCGTTATACCCCCAAAATTCCCTAAGTATGAGCATAAGCATCTATCTTTAGGATGCGACGCAGTTCTTGAGTGAGGGCGAATTTGATTGTACTAAACTGTTCTTGCTTTCGATTTCGAGAGAGATAACTCCAGGAGTAAGGAAACCTATGTTCTCCAAGGAGTGACGCAAAGTTATAAATGCGTATCCAATTGTCAACCTGCTAAATATTTGGCTTTCAGGCTTCTTGTCTTTCTTAAAACATTTTTAGTGTTTCTCAAGCCTACTTCTGTGCCTTTATTCACTTTTAATTATATTGAACAGAGTTATGAGGAAGACATTAACCGGTGTTGTAGGTTGTCATTCGATAGGGTAAGAAGGCAGTTAATTTTATGGACACTGGTTCAGTATGTTGTCAGTGTCTGGTCTAAATATCAGTCTCAGGGACTTTTAATAAGTCAGATAGAGCCCTCTCTTGTACCTGACCACTTCTTGGCTTAAAAACACGAATTTACGCTTGTTTTGAAGGCTTCTAGTATTTTACCACGCAATTACTGCAAATGAATCGTGGGACGCTGGTTTGACTAACCTAGTGGTCCATGAATAGGCCGGCTTTTGTCTCTATCCTTTACTCCTTTCGGTCATGGGCAAAGGTCCAATTATGCATATCCAACCTCATTTTCCTGGAGCTCCCACAGGTAAAATATCGTTGAAATGCCAATTGAAATGAAGCTGGGTCCTTGGGGCCATCAAATGTTGAATTTTCTCGGCACTAATCAAAAATTCCCCCATGCATATCCGGATCACTACCAATTTTAAGTATCTGTTCCCTCAACTGTCTACCTTGTAGGTGGCCTTGTTGATGAAGGCCCTCCATTGACGTTTCCTTGAGGTTATCAGATACGATCATGATTGTGTTGAATATCCACATTCTGCCCTAGTATTATATCCTCTCTTATCTCCAGGGTAGTCTCAGGTAACTACCGTCTATGTTTTAGGGATGCATCATCTTTTAGTATCTGCGATATACAGAAATTGTTGAGATTTGAACTACAAGTACAACTTATTGGTATTTTTGTAAACACGAGGACACGAAACAACCTCAGTTTGTGGTTAACGAAGTCTAGATCATTTGACAGAGAAGAATTCGTGAATAGCGAAACGTAAATCGCTAAGCAGCATATTCATAACTGCTTCCATAACAAAAAACAGGCCACTAAATAGGCTCAATAGCTGTAGTGCAGATAGGAATCACAAACGGTATAGATACATCTGAACAAAACATCAGTTCGCTGCACTAGTGTAGCTACTAGGCAGCCATAGTGTGGGAAATTAATTCGACAGACTCAAAAGCGAGAACACTCCACAAAAAAACCTTAACAATTCTTAGGGTTGCAACACCTGCACCCTGTTAAGAATTGATAATTTTATAAGGATTGTATTTATGTCGGTTTATGGGAGCCTCTAAGGCGAATTTAAATTAAATAAAATATGCTGGATACTAAGCGTATTTTCCAAAATCACAACAACCTGTAGTCAAGTAGTGTTTTAGGTGGACTTTTGCATCACCAAATAGATCATAATTAAATATATTGTAAAATGTAATGTTTGTATACTATGATGATTGAGGATTTGTTAACCCACGTTCTCAATGGTATATGTAAGCATCGCAGTTTACCAGTTATAAAATAAAATTTGCGCATTGGCTTAATGGGCTTTAGGAATATTTTTAGGACTAGGACGCGACATTGGTAAAATGTGTTTAAATGTTCCAAGAGTTGTTGTCTCAATGACGGTGGGTCAAGGTATAAGCCCGTAGAGCTCCGTGTGAAGGTCGAGGCGCGGTCTTTTGCACTTGCATTAGCGAATCAAATCGTCAGTTTACTGAGTGGGAGTTATTACTACGTACATATAAGATCATGTTTAGCGTTGGGTGGACTCAAAACTATTCCAGTAGTGTTGGCATAACACTAAAACCCAAAATCATGACTTCAACAGATGTTCATGGAAATAGATCTGTAATTACCGTAAGTCTTGGGCATTCACTCAATGGATAATTTTCATAAGAGAGTTGTAATTCCTTCGTGTGGTTTTTTTGCTGGTTGTTTAGTTTATGTATATGCATTGAGGTGCAAATGATCTAGCACTTTTTTCTTTAATGAGCAATCACTTCTTATGCCACTTATTTTTAACTGGGCACTGAGAAGCATATACGATTTGTCCTTGCCAGTTTAATTTAGAAAATCACTGTTATTAGCAATCGCTGTTATTAACTAGTTCATCTAACCTCAAACGTTTAAAATTATGTGGAATATTTATGTTTTAACTTCTGGTTTTAGGGTTCTGTTATTTCGCTCGTTTTTTTTCTCAAGTGCGCTAGTTAACATTCTACCAGTACGTCTCCTCTTCTTTAATAGAATTTTTTCACTCCCCCCATTTTCACCTGGTTTATTTGTACTTCAACGGCTACAGGGCTTTGAATCTCGTGATGGCCGTGTTGGCTTCAGCGTTGATCCAGGCAGCGTAAAATTCGGCCGTTTTCGGGATCCACGCGCCGTCCTTCGCAACCACCTTCGCAATCGCGTTGATGTGGATCTCGACTCTGGCGCTTCACGGCGTCACCCCGTACCCTCCTCCACTGGAGGTCAGATCACCGCTAAGGGCATGACCTACGATGAGATCAAGAATGGTCTAAGAGGAACTGGTCAACTCTTCGAGGACCCCGACTTCCCTGCTGATGGCTCCTCTCTCTTCTACTCTATGTCTGCTCCTCGTGGTATCGAGTGGAAACGTCCACAGGTATAATTTGCTCTACGTTTAACCATGCTATCGCGTGTATTTTGTATCTCTCTATTTATCACGTTTGATTGTCTGTAGGAAAATTGACCATCTACCATTGTTTATTTCACACATACCTACGTTATTTTCTCTGTGTTACTTCTTTATCTAGAAATTGGGTCTGTGGTTGAGGAAGAACATGCTGTTGGCATAATGATGTGGAGGTACTTAGTTTTTTAGTAGTAAGCACCTCCTATTTATCATCTAACACCCAATTTCGTCTGTATTCTACTACCCATTTATCCTTTGCATTTGACTGGACTTTATAAATGTTTTTTTCTTTGCTTTCAGAAAATCTGCAATAATCCATTTTCTATCTCTCATTTTATGAGATAATGTACCCTTTCACGTCTATTGCTGGTTTTGTATCTTCCTCTCAGGAAATCTGCAGTAACCCGAAATTTATCGTTGGTGGCGCAAGCCGTTTCGACGTGCGTCAGGGTGAATTGGGTGAGTCTATTCGCCTTTGCTGGGCTTCCACCTCTCAACGTTTTGCTTTGGTAATTAAGTTTGTGTGGGGTCTAAATTATCAATTATGGAATCAACATTTTGAAAGCTTATTACAGATCCCTTAGCTTCCTTCAAAGAGGTCAGAATTCGAATTGTCTCATTAGGGATAAAAATATTGCATTTTGCAGCTAAATAACTAGACGTTATGCCATTAGACTTTATGTACCAGAAACAAGCGGTGTTTTTTGTCTGAACTTTTCAGTCTAAAGTGTTTTAAACCCGGGAGATACTGATAAGATTCGCAGTCGATAATCCTAGGTCGGATTTTTCCGATATGGTGGACTCAAAATAAGCACAGTTTTAAGGCTTTTGGCACGCCTTTTAACCAATACTTTGCCATTCCTCAAATTGCGGTATTCAATGCAATGGTGGTCATGTGCCTGCGAGCAGGAATTGGGTATTTACTACCTCACATGGGAAAAAATTTAGCATAACGTAGCCTAGTCGCAGATATAAATTAACAAGTTTAGTGTGTTGAGCCTGATACTAACTCACATGATGACATCTGTTTCCCTTTTACGATTGAAGGTTGACCAACTTTGACCTTCAAATTGCAATTTGTTACTTCGAGTGGTTATAGTTGACCTTTGTTTTTACTTTTGGATATCAATGCTCATGCGGTTTTGATATCCCCTTCGCGATATGGGGCTGAACTGTAACCTGGGAGAGTGGAATTAGTCATTTCAAATAGGTAACATTGATTGCTACCCTGTAGGTGACTGTTGGCTGCTGGCGGCCGTTGCCAACTTGTCGCTGTACGAGGATCTCCTCCAGCAGGTCGTTCCATTCGACCAGGCGTTCGACAGGGATTATTGTGGTGTCTTCCATTTCATATTCTGGCGTTTCGGTGAATGGGTCGAGGTGGTTGTGGATGATCGTCTACCCACTCGCAATGGAAACCTCATATTTATGCACTCTGTCGATCGCGACGAGTTTTGGTCAGCTCTCCTCGAAAAGGCATATGCCAAGTAGGTCGCCTTCTTTTTACTCTATAACTTCTCTAATTTGATTCCGGTGAAATTGTTGCTTTTCTGAGGTGCTGCCAACCTCCATCGTCGGTTTTGATGAGCTAATTCACCGCACTTCGTTTGCGTACAAATTGCTGTTCAGACAACACAGACTGCTCACTTTACTCCTCTCATTTGATTTCACCGCGGATCCTTTCGAATTGCTTAATTTCTCAAAAAGAATATTTTTCTTGATCAATGGAAGAAATCCTTCTGACGAAATATCACATGATACTTCTAAACCTTTTTGCTAGTGATTAGATTCGCAAGTCTATCAACAATACAATATTATTTCAACTGCTAGTTGCAATGAGTTTTTCCGAGTGAACTTTGTACTTTGAAGCGATTTTGATGAGTTTTGGGGACTAAATTCGACTTTTTTTTAGTACTTATATCCCTTGCTCCGGAGTAAGCAGTATCTCCCACTTCCTCTATACTTCTATCTTGGGTTTTGTATGCGGGTCCCCTGTTTGACTAAGAGTTTTTATTTATAATTTGCTGTTTCGTTTTTTTCAATCTAAATTTTGAAGTGGTTCAAATAAATTCCATTCACTTGATACCTCCACTGTCCAATCAATGATTCCTCTGCTTTCAGCCAATGAACACTCCCCTCATTATCGATCACTCTATTGGTCCATTTCGATTTCGACCAATTGAATTTGAACTACTTGTTTTTTTTCCTCCCAGACTGTTTGGTTCCTACGAGAGCCTGCGTGGTGGCAGTACAATTGAGGCGTTGGAGGACTTCACGGGCGGTCTGGCCGAGTACTACGACCTCCGCGGCAAGCAACCGGCAGATTTGTTCAAGATCCTTACCAAATCCTACGCACACCAGACTCTCATGGCCTGTTCCATTAGCCCTGATCCCAACATCATGGAGGCCGAACAACCCAATGGTCTCATTCGTGGACACGCTTACTCCATCACCAAAATTGCTCAAGTGAGGATGATCACAACTTCGTTCCAGGAGTTTAGAGAATTTGACGGAAAATTCTGTCACTATTTAGGCAAGATGCCTTGTGAGAATCGCGCTGAAAGGGTCTTTAACACTGACTTAAAAGTGCTGGTTTGTCGGAGTTTCCTTATCAGGCGTTGGAGACTCATTTCCACCCGATGTCTAGTTCAAATACGTGGGAAGATTCGCAAAGGTGCTCCAACTAATTTGACTTACCTTGTGTTGAAAACTCCTATCGACGCAGAGCTATCCTTAAATCTACAAATAAAATTTTATTAAATGAGATAGCAGTGCACTTTATCTAATCCGGTTTCTTCATTGAAAGCATTCTCTCCCTTTAAAAACGCATTCATTGTGTGTAGGTGCCACTGATTTTGGGCCTCTGCTGGAAAACTTCTCTCCACGGGGATATTTTTGGATGTCGCTAGGCTCCTTGCAACGCTTATTATCCCTTTTGCCTTACTCTCAACCTCCCCGAGGAGAGGGCATGTCAAGAGGGTTTAACAACCATATGCGGCCACTCCCTCGCCTTACCGTTGCAATGCTGTTGGCCACCGCTATATGTCAGCTAATTTTCATAGACAGAGGGGTTTTGAGTTCAAAAGAGCGGGGAATGGGACTATTCAGATACAAATTAAAAGGGAATAATGACTTGCTTTGGCCGTTGTCACAGCAGCTTTTAACGCTATGTCCCACGTTGCTTCCCTCATGATCACTTCTTCGTCCCCCCTATTTTGGCGTTAGAAACCCAAAGGGAAAGGCGTATAGTAGTTTAATTGAAAGGAAAAAATAAACAACCTAATTTTTAAGTAATAAAATGAATTGATGTGTGGATGATTTGTAATAATGCACTTTGTTATTGTTCCTGAAGGCAATTCAAGGCAATTATGGTTTAATTTTTATGCATAATAACGAATCTTCTTCATAATTCTTAGTCTCCGGTAGAGTTTATTTGAACAAATTCAACCATTGCCCTTAACTGTAAGTACTAGCATGTCTTATTTACCGATTCAATCGACATTGGTGATAGTCTGACGTTGACGGCTCCTGTCGAATTATCATCAGCACTATTACCACACTCTCCTTCAGCACCTCAACAAGTGAAAGCTACAGGTCGCCGATCAGCACTGTGAACCGTTGTCCTTCTATCCAATCCCTCAACTCCGCCCCCACGAAATACCAACCGAATATCTTACTTTGCCAATATAACGCCGATTTATTCCTAGTTGGATGTGCTCTCTCTCCCCGCGTAGGTAAACTCGAGTTCAGGACCGGTTCAACTGTTGCGTATCCGCAACCCGTGGGGAAACGAGGCAGAGTGGAAGGGCCGTTGGAGTGACTCCTCCCCCGAGTGGCGCACTGTCTCCGAGAGTCAGCGCCGGGAACTCGGCCTCAGCATCGAAGCCGACGGCGAGTTCTGGTGAGTGGAATTCCACGTAATGTAAACTTGCAGAGCGGCTGAAAACGCAGCTTTTTGGAATGTGTACAGACGACCGGTTTAGCCAGTGAGTCATTCGGCCGCCATGTTACATGTGCATATTCTTGACACACAGACGGGCGTGCGCGGCTCCGTCAGGTATCGACGGCCGGTCTACACAGCCGCTGCGTCTGTCTCGTTCCCTAAGACGGTCGCGTAGCTGCCCGTGTTTAGATTAAATTTGCTTTAGGCCAGGTCGATCCACAATCTGATACCTAGGATCAAGAATCCTAAAGCACAGTCTAGTCTTATTAATCAGAAATCGTAGGCTCCAGAATACTTCTCTTCCAACTTCTGCTCGAATTTTAGGTGATTCTTATTTCTATTCTCAGTGTGTGATTTAAGGATTGGTCTGTAGAATGCTGCATTTGAGCATTCCTCTTTAAGGGTTGGGTTCCAGATGCTCACCCTTACCGATGAATACGAAGAATCATGGATGAACATCGTGTCTTGGAGGATTCCGACGTTTTCGTTCCCAAATCACTGAGGATTGTGAAAATTTTCTTAACATTTAACACATTTCCAATTTTAAAATGGCGATTTTCACGATCTTACGGGAAGAAACAAAGATACTTTGTTCTATTTACTTAAGTTAGGGAGTTTCAAATTTCGTATCTTGGGTGGATCCAATCGAGTGCGGGGGAGAGAGAGGGGCCCGTTAGGTCGTCGTTGCAGTCGCTTTTCCACAGCATGCGTACTCCTGACTCGTCCTCTCGGCTATTGGTCTGCACTTCAAAAAATCCCCACTACCAAACAAGTTCAGGTGTGCATAATTTATTGTGCCATTAAATGCCAAGGCAGCCGGTTAGTGGTTTCATGACCAATTTTTCCAAGGGGCTGTTGAATCGGAGGATAATTGCAAGCCAACTATTGTGCATGAATTGACAGTGCATCACCTTTTCAACTACCGGAATGTCAAGTTTGTGCTCCCAAAAATGAGGGACACTTATGCTCATTTATTATCCCATTGACTTCTGGCAGGCTAGTTGGCATGCTCTTGATACGCTATTAATAATTGGACCAGATTTCTTTTCAAGCAAATGTACGTGGCCGGAATCAGAGGGTCTCTTCCTCCTTCCCACTCAAAGTGGTCAATAGTTTTGCCCGATTTGGTGTATATTAGGTCCCCATCACTAATGTCATCCCCACTAAAAAGGGTTATTATGGGCGCACACCCGTTGCCACGCGCCCTAATATCTGTGTGTGAGTGGGTGCGTGCATTTCCATTCGGCCACGCAGGTGATTGGTCGACTGATCGCCCCACACCGATTTGGGGCAATTACGTATTGAGGCAGCAAAATCGAACCCACTACAACCCTTCATTGCCATCTGTACACGCGCATGCAGCCGTGAAATCAAAAACGAGTGGGCCGATCAAAGACTTTTAAAAATATGCATCCACACGGCTCAGGATGCGTGTGTGGATTAAAGTATGGTAAAACTTGTGTTTATGCGCGGAACTGTGGAGCCAAAGGAGAGGGATGATCTTGTGCGCGGCTGTGGATTGATGAAATTCGCAGTGTGAATTAGTCATGGCGGCTCGTCTTTTTAATGTTTCAAGCCCTCGGCTCAAACGCTTTCTTTCGCTTGCTCTCTCTGTGTGTATGTGTGTACTCCGCAAGGTGGCGCCTTTGTGCCGGCTTGACAAACCAGGCATCTTTGTTGCAAAATCGCTACCTGGGTGTGTTGAGTCATAGTTCGCAGTCCTTCTAAAGGAAAACTCCAAGGCCGAAACATCAAACGTATTCTAATTTGAATCCTATGCATTTAATTAATTCTTTTTTTGAGCGGGTCCCAAATATGGAAATCCTATTCATTGAATACCGGTTATTGCCCAGTTTGTTTAACGCCATCATGAAGATTTCCAGCATAGAATGGAGGATAATTGGGCTGGATCTTCTGCTGAATAAAGCATTATCATCCTTCCCTACTGAGAATGGTCAAACAGGCAGAAAAAACCTTGTGTAAAGAGCTAGGTATCAACCTTTTCGTTTTACCCTCCATAATTAAAATCAGCGCACTTCTACCGTGGACTTTGGCTTGGAACAGCTCAATGCAAAGTGTGTCTATTCGACGCAGTTACACCCGTTCGTTCTTTCACGCATTTTTACCAAACTCAAGATTTTTCCTTTTTCAGTTACGCTATTTGTGAAAAGTGGGGAATGGGCGTAAATGCGAGGCGTCCAGTCAAGTGAAAACTGCTCCCTCGTTTGCTTGTGGCCCTAGTTTGACACTTTGGCGGTCCTAACAGCGCCAACGTAACCTGGCTAGCGACTTACACTGTTGATTAAAAATTAATTTGTACCCGTCCACAAGGCCACATTAGTGGGTGTAAGGTCTTGTGACTACATTTTCTGCTGGTTGAACTCCCTACACTGGGTAGTTAAGGATACGGTCATTGTTCTGAATTGGCTGTACCGGATTGATGCCACAGAAACTACTCTTAAAGAACCGTCAAAAGGATACCCGCAAGTTAAAGTCCGTATTTTGGTTGATGATGGTTAACCTTTATGATAAAAATTGCCATGTTAAAGTGTCTTAAACTACAGAAATGTCAAGGTTGCTCAACGATTTCCAACATGTCTGCCTGGAAGCTTGCCCGTAGGCAGCAAAAATTGAAGAGCGTATTACATGGAAGAAGTTTGATCTCACTGCTGCTTTGTTCAGGACCAGTGGAGTTTAGGAAACTTTTCTTCTACTACATTGCCACTTGCAGGTATTTTAGCCTTAAGCACATTTCTCAGCTTAGTCAATTACCACGCATTTGGCGCTTGACATTGACAGCTTTACCCGGTTTCACCTCTGCAAGCTTGAACTTCTATCATAAGGTGTGGTTTCTATTTCCTTATGGTTTTTAACAAACTTTAGTGCAAAGTAGGCGCCGTGGTCAACAGTCCAGACCGTTTTCGGCTGCCGGGCTATAAAAGCTATCAATCATGGTTGTGTTGTTCCCATAAGGAAGTCCAAATCACTTCTTCATCGTAATGCCATATCTTGGCTACTACTTCCCTAATTACTTACCCACTTTCCGTTTCGGGTCTGTTAATGTCACAAGATAGTAATTTAGCGGTGCTGGCTTCAGAGACCACTTCAAAATTTACACTGAAAGAATGCAATCCAACCTTGACAGCTTTTCGCAGCAATTCTCGATGATTAATTGCTTTGGGTGTTTTTACTTCTCTTGGCAGGATGTGCTACGAGGACTTTGTAAAGGAATTCGAGAAGCTCGAAATGTGTGCCCTTGGTCCACAGTCGTTGAGTATGGATGACAGCCGCAAGAAGGTGCCCTTTGAGATGACCATCATACACGGTGGCTGGCAGCCTGGTGTCAACGCTGGTGGCTGTCGCAATTTCCTGGGTGTGTACTGCTTCTCCTAAACGAAGAGTTGTTCGATGAAGTCCTACTGGGTCTCAGTTACAGCATTGCTTGGTGTGGAATACCATGGGGTGGACTAACGAAGTTACTCGGGCTTATTACACAGCGTCTAACACACTCTGAGGGTTCTCATGCTTTGAGGTCTCATTCCTTCAAAAGCGAAGATATGGTAGCAGCAGCACAATTTCGCATTCGTTAGTACGCTTCTGCCTCCATGGCTTTGTCAGGCTATGGCGCAACTGGATTACCCTTCATCTACCGAATTTTTTATGCCTTTGATGTTTGTAAAGACTCTGGTATTTGTGAATGAGGTTTTGTGCGGAGGTAGGTGTAAACTCCATGGTTCTACCTATAATCTGGCACTCACCTTAGACAAAGAGAAGTTTAATTGACCTTTTGTTTACCTTATGCCCTATCCTATTCAGGCGATGCGTAAAAAAGGGAGAGAAATTCGTAGTCTTAAAAGGTCGCACTCAGTCTGCTTAACCTGTAGAATGTTTGATTGGCAGTTTACCCACTCTATGGGTTTGCATAGGACCAGAAGTTGAGAGGACTTCGTTACATCAACCGAACTCAGAAATCGTACCTTTCTGTCTAGAGTAACTTGATGCGTTTGGGTGCGTACTTATGGTAAAGCTTTTCCGCCTTCGATATATCAGGGCGCGCGGAAATGAACCCATGGTTTAAAATAACTCATATTTTGGGTGGAAAGTGAGAACTGACTTCTCTATACTTAGTGTGAGTTATTGGCTATCGTTACTGTCTTATCTGCTCTAGATACCTTCTGGACGAATCCTCAGTACCGTGTGCAGGTCGAAGATGCTGACGACGATGATGATGAAAATTTGGGAACCCTGATTGTCGGTCTGATGCAAAAGGATCGCCGAAAGATGCGCAAACAGGGCGCTGAATTACTTACCATTGGTTTCATGATCTATGCGGTGAGTTTTTGAGGCACTTTTGGGCTCTACTCCAATGAAATTTAAAGCTCTATTCAATGTCAGAGAATCATTTGTATGTCATTCAGATGGCAAAATATGATGCAATAGAGGTCTGCGTGCAGTCCCTAGAATAGCATCAAAGTTGATAAATACTGTAGTGCTAATTGGAACAGGAAATTGGTAAAGTTATCTTTCTCTGGATAGTTAAAAGAACCGCATGAGGGTCCGTTGGACATGAATTTCTTCAAGTACAACTCCGCAGTGGCACGATCTCCGGCTTTCATCAACACCCGTGAGGTGACCGGTCGTTACCGTCTGCCACCTGGAACCTACGTCATTGTGCCGTCTACATTCGCCAAAAATGAGCGTGCCGACTTCCTTCTGCGTATCTTCTCGGAGAAAGCCAACCCTACTGAGTAGGTTCCATCCTCTCCCCTTTGAATAACGAAAAATCTGGTTAGCCTTTCTTTGAGGTGTATTGTGGGCTGCAAGACAGGATACCTGCTAAATCTATGCAAATCGTGCATCTAGCAGGATCTAGCTAATGAGAAAGCCAAAAATTTGCAATTGCCTGAACTCTCCGTACATATGCTGAATTCAAACGTTCAATTCCAGTTTGTTTCATCCTGAATGATCCTTTGTTGTTGCCTTTTAGACAAATGGACGATTCTGTTGGAGTAGAAGAACCAGAGGTAAGCTCTGTTCTAGGAATGACTTTTCTACTACAGTGTGTCTTCCAAACTTAAGTTTGTACAATGTGGAATAAGCTACTGCCTTCGGCACGTGCTTTCTCCTCACTGGTTTAATTCGGTGCATTCCACAAATTTTGACCAAGTTTAACCACTTAATGATGGTCCCTCTACTGACTTACTTTGGGACCAGGGCGGCAGTAGGACCCCAAGCCTTCTAAAATCGCTTTAGGGTACATTAATAAAGAGGACTAATTGTGTCATCATGCCGCAAGATGGAAGAGCTGAAGAACTGAGGAGCCCACATAATTGGATGCACATGATCACCACATACACACATATACGCGCATACATGTGCCTGGAGAGCGCTCTGATCAGCTACCATCTGATTTTTTTTCTACCATCTGTACACCTTTGTATCGTCACTGTCGAGACGTCGCTCCCTCGTCAAACGCTACTTACTACTACCATCTTTACCCTTTTGTTGTGCATTTATCCTGGATGGCGGTGTAAAAAAGAGGAGGAAGAAAATGGTAATACAGAAGTCCAAGGTGTTTTAGCCAATAGTGCATTCAGTTAGTCGATGTCTAGATCAGGAAGAACGAGCTCTCGTTGATGTCTGTCAATACATCACACTCAACAATCACGTCGCCACTGACAACTGAACATCTCGTATTTCCTGCACGCATGTGCACCTGTGCCAAGCAAATAGAATTCAGCGTTTAAAGGTCGTCAGATTTTGAGCTTACTTCTACTTAAAATACCACTCGGTCTAAATAGATGCAGGGGCTTTTTAGGGCTCATTCCACGCTTTTAATTGATTTATGATTTTAGAAAGATAAGAAGGTGAGTTTCAGGCTACTGAAATGTGAAGCGTCTTTGGGCTACCTGTTGTACCTGATCGGCTCTTGAAAATAGCATCTGATGCATGGCAGCATTTCCTCCCTTACGTAGCATCGCCCGTGAAGCGTGACTGTGTAGCCATTGCAGAACTCTGTATTTTGCTATTCAAACGATTTTTTGCATGTTTGCTAGCTCTCATTCCACTTTTCCACTTTACATTTTTTAACCTTTCTGACTGCTCTTTAAGAAAACCACATTACTCAGTAAACGGACCGTAAGTTGAAACCATTCTGTATCCTGCGGAGCGAGCGAATATTCGTTTTCTTCGCACAACCCCACCTTGATCTGCTTAAAAATAGGCTATGATGCTATGGTGTTCGCTAAGGCCCCCTATTTCCTTCCCGTGAGTAATGGAGAACCTTAGTGGTGTCGAAGATTAAAACCTCACTTGAATACACACAAACAATGAGAACTTCACCACATGTAGAATAGATGTGCTTCATACGTTACTCAGTGGTCACTCATCCCCACAAATATAAGCGGAGTCGAATTTCCTTACTTCGGTGGCATTAAGTACCACCCCATTGGTGTGCATTACACCTCTTAGTCATCCGAACCGTCAATTAGTTGTTGGTAGGGTGCTCCGCGTGAAAGTTAATTGCTCTTGTTTCCTGCCAATTGTTGACCATTATCTGCAGACCCTAGGCTATGTCGCTGCTGCATTTGTTTCGAATATGTGCTTATTACTCTCCTGCATCCTGATTCATTGACTCATCATATATGTGTGTCCCGATTTCTTTAAAACAGCCGGCAGTACCTGCGAAGACAGTAAGTTGTCGTTTGCTCTTGCAGAAGATCTCAATATTTATCCCTTCGCCTCCTCCTACTCTTGTACATGCTCTGCTTTTGGGCTGAAAACATCGCCTTTTATTTCTGTATCGTTCGTGGAGATAGCTGGCTTGCCCCCAATTCTCACAGCCCATACGCATATCCGTTTGGTTGCTGAAGCTCAAATGATTGTTAAATTTCAGTGTCTCCGATGCCACTTTTTCTTCTATCACATTTTCGGGTATCTCTCAGCGGGTCGTAGCCATGACTAAGCAGCCCCAAGGTCGTTTGGAGACTAATCTATTCCCCTCATTTTAAACAAATGACTTGTTTTTTTTTCTGCGGCTGGTCGTGGTATGTTATAAAAGATTTCTTTTTAATTATTCCCATGTGGCACTATTAGAAAGACGGTACCACGAAGCCTGTAAGTTGTTTTCGCGTGTGCTAACAACACAGTTGTTTGTATTTCGCACCTTTCGTGATACTTTGGCCCGGGGTACATATGAAAAAAGTTTTGGCTCGCAAACTTTTTTTGTGAAGACATAGAGAGAAGAAAAGAACAGAGTTTAACCACTTATTCGCTTTTTTGTGGTGGCAGTGTCTCCTTACGCCATAAAGCGATGGCGCCCTGTGTCGATTTGCAGTTTTGAGTTTGCTGTGACTGCTTATTTGTTTGTTTTGTGGTTTTTCATGTTTTGGTGTTTTTTATGCTTGTTTCTTATTGATTTCCTTTTTTACCCACCAAGAGTCAAGCCCTGGTCAGATGGCCCCGAATGGACTGCCATTTACATAATTCAGACGTGAGGCGGTGAATGCGCTACTCATTTGCATTAGTGCTCTGTGCGTGTCAGAGAGACTACAGTAGTCAACATGATCTCGTAGTTAGGTAGTTGTAACCACTCCACCAGCTGAACCGATTACTTGGCTTCGCGTTGAATTTTCTGCAGTAGGGCGAGATACTGCTCTGTCGTCGTGTAGAATGCAATAACGAGAGTCTGATATACGAGTTTGCTGCAGTGAGCTATTATTCTGTCTTACTTCTACCTCAATCGTTGTGCTGCTGTTCATTCCAAATTTTTTGTCGCTCCATCCAATGCAACATCCCAAAATAACAATAGAAATATCCGATTCCCAATGATTTTGCTGGTCTTTCAATTTCTGACCTCAAATAGCATGTGTTATAACTTGCATGACCTTATTCGGCCTTTTTGTAGGTGGGTGAGTCCTTTACAATAGCTTTGCTCATGATTAATATAGCATTGTTTTTTTCTCTTCTCACCTTATAAATGAAAAGGTAGTTCAACTGAAAGGCAAAACAATTTGCATCGCCAAAGAAGATGTAAAGTCTGCATGCATAAACCAAAAAATATTATTGCATTTGGCCATGTAGTCTTATCAAAAATTATCCTGGCCCCTCTTCGACTAACCTAACACGCATGATAGGTTGATAGGGGTAACCCAGAGTAGGTGGTTATTTCTCCAGACGCCTATACATATGCATACAACTCCTCCCCGCTGCGGAGCCTAAGCGATCCCTTTTCCCTCAATTAGGGTATGTTGATGCCAGAGCCAATCAGCGAGAGTCAAGTGGTGGCACTGAAGAAGGCCTTTGAGAAGGTCTGCGGCCCCGATGGCGAGATCACGGCGGACGAGCTAATAGATATCCTTAATGTTGCTTTCACCAAAGGTGAGTCCACCTTTACCCTCTCGTCTCCCTCACTCATTGTCCTCTCCACTCCTCCCATTTCCCTACCTCTTCATGGCACTTGGTGTGCAGTGTCGTTACAGGATCTCTTGCTTGTCATTCTGTACGCACTTCCGCCCATCCATTCCATCCATTCGCCTACCGACCCGTCCAATCATCCTACCAGCCCTCCGTCCATCCATCCATCTATTCACCTCCTCCTCCTCCTTCCTACTACTACTACTACTACTACTACTAATAGTTCCGGAATTGATTTTGCACAAATTGCACCAGTAGTTCAATGCCTCGTGCGTGCTATGTATCTCATTACTACCAAAATTAGCCGCCTGTTGTAAAGAGAGAGATTCACACCGTTGTTCGGCTTTATGCACGCCTCGTTCCTTCTCTCCCTCTCACCCTCTCTCTCCTTTCTCGGGTTTTATGTTCTTCTTTCTCCTGTTTATCAACCAGCTGCGCTTCTGCCAACATGAGCTGGTAATGCATATGCCTTCACGTATAATATTTAGCGTTACTTGCCGCTCCTTCTCAACTAGCAATATGTGCCATTTAATCTGCATGCGCGCTTCGCTTTTGACTGGTGTAGCTGTCCCTGAAGCTTCTCATCCGCTTATCTTAGCCAGACTGTAGTAGTTATTCCCCCTTTAGACCTCCGCAGACATATTTCCACTTTATTAGTTTGTTTGTATGTGTGATTGTTTGGCTGATTGTGTACTCTTCGGAAGTTATTAGACGTTTCTTTCTCCCA